ATTTAATAGTTAATTATATTAAATATTTTGTTTCTTAAAAGACTTAATAAAGCCTTAAATACCTAGGAAAATTATAATATTTAATTAATAAGCTATATTATATTACTATTAAATATAAAGTTTAGCTTAAGTAAGTAGTATTTAGCTTAATATTAATAAAAGAATATAATTACTATTTATATTTAATTAATACTCCAGCCTTATATTATATATAATAGCTAGCTCTTATTTATAAAGAGGCTTATATAAAAAAGGGCTACTCCTATATAGTAATATACAAGCTTAATAAACAAGCTACTATAGCACAGCTTATCGCCATAAGCAGCAGAGCTTAATACTGCAAGACTAGTTGTATTTAATTATAGCTAGTACTAATTACTTTTTATGTATATAAAGAATGTATATATAATTAATTAGCAAAGGGGGTGTAGTATTATTAAGGGGCGGTAATTATATAAGGATAAGTTAGTTTTATATTACCTTAATACTTAGCACTATTTAACGCTAACTAGCTATTAATATCTAAAATAAGACTATAGCTAGATATATAATAAATATAATTATATAGCTATAAGTTATTTTATATAATAAGTATTATAATAAATATATATATTTTAATATAATATAAATTAATCTTTTTAATTATTTAATTAAGTATATTTTAAATACTATTTATTTATTTATTATATTAATTAAGGTTATTTTTATAAATTATTATTAATACCTTATAGGCCTTTTAATCTTTTAATACTAATTTAATATATAAGGTTATTAAGTATTTTAATTTAATAATTATAAGAGTAATCTTTAAAAAGTATAATTAAGGCTTATTTTCCTTTTTTATAAGGTAATTATTAAATTTAAGCCTCCTTAGCTCTTAGACTTATTAGTTTATAAAAAGCCTTAAATTTATAATTCTTTTAAGCTTATAAATCCTTTTTATAAATATCTTTATAATATAAAATTACTTAAAAAAGTCTTAATTATTAAATTTATTAAAAAAATAAGTCTTTATATTTATAATTAATAATATGTTAATTAAGGATTATTTATTTAAATAGTAATTTAATTTATTAATTAATAATATATTTCTTATAATTATAGCTATTTTCTTAAAAATCTAACTTTAAGACTTTTAATTATTAAACTATTACTTAATTAATTAAATTATCTAACTAAGGCCTTTTTAATATAGCCTAATTAATCTCTAAAAGATGGGTAAAATATTATATAACTCTTTTATTTTAGGAAAAGCAGCTCCTATAACTAAGATGCCTTGGTAATTAGTATCTGGCAGTTTAACAGGTTGTAATACAAAGGCATAAATATTAAGATATAGAGAAGGGGAAACTAAAGGGTTTTACATATAAAGAGAATTAAGAAACTAAGTTAATAGTAAAAGTTAACTAAATTTAATAATAAAGTTATTTTTAATAAAAGACAGAACTTAAATTTAAGATAAAAGTAAAAGGTATATAAGTAATAAGTAAGGTATAATAATATAATACAATAATATAATAAAGTAATATAATAATTTTAAATTATATATAAAATATTTTATTATAAATAAATTTAATAAAATTAAAGTTTTATTTTAACTTTTAAAATATAATATTTATTATATAAAATTAATACTTTTTCTAATTTATATTATTATATATTAGTAATTTAAGCTTTATATAACTTAAATAATATAAAATATATAGCTATAGATATTACTAAAGTTTATAAGTTATAAATATATTTAAATTTACTATATTAATCTAATTTATATTAATAATTTTATTACTTAATAACTAATTATAATAATAATATTAAAGTTAATATATAATATAAATATAGATTTTATATATTTATAAGTATTTATTTTATTTATTTATAAGTATTTATTTTATATTCTTACTTATTTTTAACTTACTTTAATAACTATAATACTTAAAATACTAATTATTAGTAGATATTTATTTTCATTATTACACAGCCTATATCTTACTAGCGCTATAAAAGTTCCTACTTTAACTTAATTATTATTTAATAGCTAATGCAAATAATAAATATCAGGGGCCCGTTAAGTGCTTAATATACCAGGACTTCATAGCAGCTTGTAGTCCTCGTGCAACTAGTCTTTACTCCCGTATCGACCTTGCCTGTTAATAGACGTCTAATAGTCCCCTCCTATGTATAACTAATAACGATTGCGTAGCCGATGCCGTGCTATATCTCGATTATCTCCTCAAATTCTGCTTATATGTCAACGCAAAATGCTCCTGGCAGGACCGAACTTAGTCATCAGTGCGTTGTCTGGGTATATTATTTAACAGGCCTCAAAACCAGACAGGAACCTTTGCTACCAAGGTCTCGCTAATATGCAAAGAGGTAAGACGCTGAATAGACTTCAGTACTTGACTCGCAATTAATAATTCTAATCTTGATATCTTACTCACATCAAGCTTCGAATTTGACTTTTATTAGTCACACTTTCCTTGCGGAGCTCCCGTGTAATACTTGACTTAGGCCCGTTATGTTGAAGGATATTATAGTTTATTACCTAGTCCGCTATCTACTAACCAGGAAGGAATTCGCCGGCATTCAAAATTGTAGAACTTTCATTAACTCTCATGCCACAGACTCTCATAGCATCCAGTGCGCAACTCTTATTCCTAACTGAATGAAATTTAGAGGGCTTCTTTATCGTTCTTGTAATAGTAACTAATCCCAGGGCATTTTTATATCGCGCGGTACACCGCGGGGGGTCATCTGTTGTGCCACCTCATCATAATTCCAGCCCGGTTGCCCTAGGTCTTAGTTAGGTATTACACAACACATCACCATATCATAATAATTAGGAAATCATGCGGGGTATGGAGCCCGGCTCATGAAAAAGACTGGCTGATAAATATGTCATACAGTATATGCCCACGGTCCGATTGAACAGAGCATGGCCTCGTAAATGCTTTATAAAATCATGCGACTAACCCCCACCGCCCTTCTCATCTTATTCAAACCACCATCACTTTCACATATCCAACGATAAAAACCAACAGTTTTCAATATGGCGCCCTCAGTTTCTGAATCAAAAACTTCTATCTCTACCGACCAGGCACCTGCAAAGAGTGACAAGCAAGAGTCAAAGCTTACTCACCTCGAGAGGGAAGAGATCGCTTTTACCGACAAATACAGTTCGCCCGATGCTTATATCAATGGCGAACAGGACACCTGCTGGTTTCATTGGCAAGGGAGTCTAGATCTGAAGCCTCTGCGCTTTGAGACCCGAACCGGTACTATTGTCGCTGTGTTGCGCAGCTCCGAAGACACTTGGCTGGGGAAGCACAGACACCGTGGCCCTGTCACTGCTGTCACGCTCAAGGGTGAAATGAATTACAAGGAGTTAGTTTTCCACGCCTTAGGAACAAAAGACTATACTAATTATATCTATTAGGTATGACTGGGTTGCAAGACCTGGTGACTACGTGGTAGAGAACCCCGGAACTATCCATACTCTACATATGTGCAAGGATACGGAGGTGCTTGTTACCGCCACAGGCAGTCTTGAGTTCCTCAACGATGATGACACCTTGAAGAAAACTTTGGACATTTTCAGCTTCGCTCAAATGTATTACGAGCACTGTAAGAAGCAGGGAATTCAACCTAATAACAAGCTGTGGTATTAGTGCACAACAGACTAACGCTCTTTATCTTTACATAATTACATCAATTTATATTTTTCCGAACTGATGTTTCAGTGCGCATGAATCTTTGGTCATGTTTGGTCTCATTGTGTTTACGCAGGGTATTGTATCTGAAAGAGCCAGCTCCGTTGTGGAACGGAGCATGCAGCCGCAGTGACATAGAACCTGCGAACCGCTCGTTACGCACAGGTATATGGGCCCTACAATTTGCAGAAGTTACGCATCAGCTGCACTGCTTAGAAATACTTCAGTGGCCTGATAATGTCGTATCGTAACCTTCGGCAATTTCCACCAAAGGCTATGGAGCAGAAGAGTATTAATAGCTAAGTTAACTTGCCCCCCAAGACTTATCCTATTGCCCCTCACTTTGCACGTCATATTGAATTACGCAGTTAATAAGAATGAAGAGCTTTCGGCTGTACGAAATAGGCTAGTTCTTGCAAGTTAATACCTTACCTCCAGAGATTAGCGGAATCAGCTATTAAATAGCATTATGTGGCTTCCACTGGAACGGCGCCGGGGCGCTGCGATAAGATTTTAGCGGGTCCCAGAGTAATTTATTAGATAGCAACTGCAATACTATTACTAATAGGTTTTTTTTTTTTTTTACTTTAAATTAAAATCTAATTTAATTACTATAATAAGTTATTTAATGCAGCAGAATAAGTGCCTTAATTAAGTTATTACCTATTCTTCCCCCTTTATAAGAGCTTGCTTTATTCCCTAATAATTACTTACCCCTTAACGCTAAGTATAACTCTTATAATAAGCTAGTAATTATAATTAATATATAGGCTATTATAGAAAGGCTATATATTTATTATATAGAAATTAACTACTAAAATAAGTAATTAAAGAATTATTATATATATATATAATAGTCTACCCCTTGTAAAGTGGGGTAAATTAAATCAATTGTACAACAATAGATTTTGGAATGTAGGACTAGGCCCGAATGATCGGACTGTGCTCTAGGATCCCATATGCGAGGACGCGTGCAAATGGCTTTATAACATAGCATCATCGTGATTAGCAATATCGGCTTGCGCCTCAGAGCGCCCCAGACCTTTTTGTCGATGGCTCTCATGGCTTTGCTGATGTCAAATCATATCTTGAGAAATATGCAGGTGCGCTAGAATTAGTGCCCTTTAAGGTTAAGTCCTGGCGTAATTGATGTAAGTATGTGTAAAAGTAATAGCTTTCGAAGCCAATAAAGGCAACGTTGCTCCCGTAAGGGTTGCGGTGTAATATACACAAAACGACGTGGGTGTATTCTCAGCGTCGTTTCTTGCGAATTGAATTGTCACTACGATGGCCGAAGCCAAAACGACGATACCGAATTCCGATTCTCGTGATACCACACGAACCTACAAGCAGCTCGTGTCGGACCTCGGCCGAGACGCACTTGTCATTGTTGGCACCGGCGCCTCAATTGCTGCCACGAAGTCCGGCCTCGCCAGTTGGACTGGTCTTCTGAAGAATGGGGCCCAGGAATGCGAAAGTCACGAGGACAGCCTACGTGGAGGGTTTGTCCAAACCCTGAATCACCTCATAGATTCCAATGACCCGGATCAACTTCTCAGAGCTGCTTCGATTATTGGCGGGAAGCTTTCCAAGCTCGCTCCTGGCCAATATGCTCGCTGGCTCGCTGATACAGTGGGGTCCCCCAAGGCCAAGAATCCTGCCATCATTGAAGCCATCCGCAACCTTTCTTTACCTCTTGCCACCACCAACTATGACGGACTCCTGTCAGCCGATAAGCAGCTATTCCCTATCACTTGGGCCGAGCATTCTCGGCTCGAGAGTTTCTATGAAAAGAAGGGCAACACCATCCTTCACTTACACGGCTATTATGAAGATCCTGAATCTGTGATGCTCGGCCTGGATGACTACGAGCGCATCAACAGTAGCGACAAGGCTGAGCACTTTCTTTGAAAGCTTCGCAGTAACCGAACCTTCGTCTTCATCGGCTGTAGTATAGATGGGTTGATGGATCCACACTTCAGGTCTTTCTTTAAGTGGGTTAGCAAGTTCTAATCTAACAGCAAATACCCAGCGTACATCATCACAAAGAAAGATGAGACCTCGAAGTTCAAGAAGGAAAGTGATATCTCCAACGTTAACTATGTTTCTTATGGAGAACATTACGATGACCTCGTCCCATTCCTTCACAAGCTCCGCCAGGATATTACTATGCGTCACGATGCATCAATCCCTGCCGACGACCACCTTCCCCTTCCTTCCGGCCCCTTATTCGGACGCGAAAGTCAGATCAGCCAGATCGTCGACAGGATTCTCCGCCAAAAAAAAGCACATTTCGCTCCTTGGTGCCGCTGGTATCGGCAAGTCTTCTCTGGCCCGTACTGTTGCCAGGGACTCTCGAATAGCCAAGGAGTATCTCGCACATCGCTACTTCGTCGACTGCGAATCTGCGGTGTCTATCAATCTTCTTGTCACGGTTACCGCCGGAGCGGTAAATATTCGGACGGAAGAAAACTCGCAGAGCCTCCGAAGCCACGTGAAGCATTTCCTTGCACGGCATGCGACACTCCTTGTTGTAGACGGCTTTGAAACAGTCTGCGAGAATGATACTGTCCAAGTGGAGAGCTTCCTCCGTGAACTCCGCAAAATAAAGTCCTTGTTACTTATTCTGAACATCCGTGGAACCGAGGTGCCCTTGCCTGAGGCTTGGTGCAAGCGACTTGAGGTGGAGCCGCTGGATATCGATCAAGCGAAGGACATGTTCATTTCAATCGCTCATGAGAGTAAGGATGGTCCAGTTCTGGATGATCCAGGTTTTATGGAACTTGTTTCTGCTATGGACGGCTTACCCCTCGCCATAGAACTGATGGCCAAACGTGTTCTAGACCAACCGGACAGGAAGCTGAGTCACCACCTCCAACAATGGATGATAAGTCATACTGCTGTCCTTGGACGTTCGGTACCAAGTCGCCTTACCTCTCTCGATTCATCCCTTGAGTTGTCCTACAACAGCCCTCGCATGATGGTCGACGCACGCAACCTCCTGGCTATCCTTTCTTTACTCCCAGAAGGCCTCCCAATCGACGAAATTCGTAACGTCTTGCCGTCTGCAACCGAAGATCCTAGCTGGCCATTGCTGAAAACTTCCTTTGGGTTCCAACAAAACGAACGAATCAAGCTGCTTGGCCCCACCCGGTCTTTCATCCTCAGGAAACAGACGCGCACTCCAATTGACGACAAGCTCCTTGAGCCTCTCAGGAATTACATGTTCCGCCTCGCCGCCACAGCAAGAGGATTCGGCGGTGCCAACGGAGCCGACGTCGTCGAGCGTCTCACTCCTGAGATTGGAAACTTCAATACCGTCATCAGGTACCTCCTCAAGATTCGCCATGAAGTGGGTATCCATCTGACTCGCACCGCGCATGATTGAGGAGGCGCTGATTGTGGCCACCCACCGCACAATCCCTATGGACCACATTGTGTACAAACTTCTTGAGCCACATTGGTACAAGACGCTCTCGCGTAACGCGACCGCTAGATCTACCCTTGTGCCTCAAATCATCAAGGACCTCGTTGGCCTGAAACCAGCCTTTTTGTATCAATTCATTTGGTGTGAGTTCGAGAACTTCGACTATGTCGGGAGCTACATCCCCAATGAATTGGGACGACGAGGCTTCCCTAATACAGCCCAGGGCCTGTCCGATAATAAGTACAAGAATTATGCCTATGCTAAGAACATGGTCTCTATGTGGCACTGCATTCGCGAGTACGTCATAAGCACGCTTCTGATATACTACGACAAGAATACGGCAGACAAGATGGTTGAAGAAGATCAATACGTCCAGGACTGATGCAAGGAGGTGCAGACAAACGGTTGGATCAAGTCTTTCCCGAACATCCAAACTCTGGACGAACTGTGCGACGCTGTCACCATGAGCATTCATATTGCAGCTCCATTTCACACCGCAGTCAACTACCTTCAAAACTTCTACCAAGCCTTCGTTCTCGCCAAACCACCCTGCCTTTGCAGCCCAATGCCTGAAAGCCTTGAGGAGCTCAAGAATTATACTGAGAAAAGCCTCGTCGATGCGCTGCCCATCGGTCGACAAAGGCAATGGCTGCTCTCAGTCCAGGTACTCTGGCTCCTTAGGTTGAGGGTCCCTAGTGATCGCAGCCTTATTACTTTCGCGCTATCTCAATGGCGCACGCATCATGGGGATGACAGGGAAGACCAAGAAATTAGAGCGATCAGCCAGCGGTTCTATATCAAGCTCAAGAAGCTACAAGTTGAGTTTCTCGTCACCAGTAAGAGTATGGATGAGGGAGCAATTCCTTACATGGTCATGGACCCTGCTAATACTGCTGTGTCTATTTTGATCTAAGAATCACACCTTTACTTAAGACATTCTTTTCCCTTCGTTTATTAATTTGGCTTAGAATGAAATTCAATTAATTATCAACCAAATTGCTAACTTTAATACTATTCCCTTGTATCCTTAGTTTTCAAATGTGGTTCTAATGACAATCGATATTTTAATCTTCCCAGGTGTATTTAACCAGCTCTCTGAAAGTTCCCCGGATCTTCATTTACCCTCGTCACTATACAGCGGTCGCTTATCTCATACGTCCGCGAAAAATATGATGATGCAGGCTGAAGTCCATATGGCAATATCCCTGGATTCTCTAGTAGCCGAGAGCGTCCCTTGGTCGCACAGCGATACAGCGACTGCTTGAGAAGCAGTGGCAGTATAGCTTTACCACAACATCTGCTGCCCAGCATCAGAGGTTGTCGAATTTATGTTTGAGTTGCCGGACGTCTGGAAGTCGAGAGATGAAAGGTTGCTCTTGTTGAGTACCAAGAACCTGCCGGGAGGTCTAGGTGGTTAACTCAGAGAGATGGCGGAGATGATGTCCATGTTCGACTTGGAGCCCTTCGCCACGGCGGTCATCGTCTTGCCCAAGAACTAACACATTCTCCTTCTTGGTATCGTAGCGTTTATCACCGACAAATCTTTATTGTCATGTACTTCTCCAACAGCAGCATATCCCTCTTTAATCGGGGAGGGCGCCCATACACCTTATGAATGTTTACCAAGTCGGAACATGCCTTGAAGGTCTCCAGATACCTTGGTGGCACTGGGAATCGGGGTCAGACCCGCGCCTATTCAAGCATTTGCCGCCGAACTCCTTGTTGTACTTACCGCAATCTGACACTACCGTACTGATCATGGGGTCATGACGAAATCACATACCGCCAGTCCTGAGCTTGGTGGTAGCCTTTATATCGAGACTTGTGATCGAAAGTTTGATCATGTTGGTCAGTGCCGATATAATCAACCACATAGGGGCCAATGGGCTGTACCTGGAGATGGCGACTGCTTCTCCAATGCAAATCTCTTGGTGACATCTAACGATTTAGCTGTTATTGAATTCTAAAAAGTAGGAATATCCAACTCGGCTCTTCTCTCATACTACACGTATTACCGTCAAAGAATAGACTTGCTTAGCTCTCAGTGTGAGCTGTTCGGCTTTCCTCAGCCATAGTTATATCCCGCTGCTCTTCAACAGAAGTCTCTGGCTTAAAATTAGGCATGTTCTCCATATAACAAAGCCACAAGACTTCCAATGACCAGTGACGCAAGGGTCTCAGATCAGCGACAACCTGGAATACACCCACGGCATCCCAAGTGTTTCTAAAGGAGATGCCAGGGAAAGCAGTCTGTAAGTAATTCTTAGAAAAGTAAATTTTGCATTCCTAAGTTATATGTACCTAAAAGTATATTATTATTTCAATAGGCTATTAAATAATATTAACTTAATTAGTCTTACTTTTAGGCAGTCCTATTTACCCTTTTTTATATTAATAGTATATAATAACTTAAAAAGATTTTTCTTACTTTTAATCTTATAAGAGGCTATCTAGCTTTTTAACTTTTTTATTAATTACTTAAATAAAGAGACCTTTATAATAAGCTATTATAATAGAAGTTAATATTAAATAAGGTTTATCTGCCTTAATAATATAATTACTGCCTTAACTAAGTAGTATAAATACTAGTTCTTAATAACTAAATAAACCTGCTTTTTTTAACCTATTTATTCCTTAATTAACCTTAATAATATACTATGCCTAATTTATCTATTATGCTTTTAAAGTATATTACTTAACCTGACTTTCCTTTATTAATTATATTTACTAATATTAATTATAGCTATTATTATAATACCTATTATTTATAATAGCCTATAGCCTAATTAGGGCTATTATAAAATTAACTATAATCTTATTAATATAATTAAATTAGCCTTAAAGTAAATTATAAATAAAGAATATTATATATTATATATAATAATTATAACTATTAAAAACAACTTCTTATTAAAAAGGAATTATAAATTAATTAAAATAATTATTTTTAATTATAGCTTAATTAAGTTAATTAGTTATATAAATTTAAGTTACTTAAGAAATATAATATTATTAACTTAAATTAATTAAAAGCTATATAAATTAAAAAAAGCTAGAAAAAGCCTTAAAGTATAACTAGTCTTTAATAATAAAAGGGGAAGCTTTTCTTAATACCTTTATAGGCTTAGCCTAGTATAAACAGTAGTTTATTAATGTAAATATAAATATAAAATAAGTACTTTAAATCCTCCTTATTATATAAAAATAAAAAGTTAAATAAATATAAAGTAAAGGCAGGGTTTTATAAAGGAATTATATTAAGTTTTATATAAGTTAATTAATAAAAGTTAAATTAACTTAAAGTTATAACTATGTTATTTAATTAAATATATATAATAAGGCATATAATTAATTAACCTTATAAATAATAATAAATAAAGTAAATTTAATAAAAAAGCAGTAGTTTAAATTAGGGTTAATATATATATATAATTAAGAAAAGAAATAATATAACTAAATAGATATTTATATTAGGTTAAGGCAGTATTAATAAATATATACTTATATAAGTAAGTAAGTAAAGGAAATAATAAAGTATTTCTATTTTTAATATATAAAATAAATAATATAATATAAAAAGATATTTTAATATATAAATAAGAAATATAATAACCTCTTTTTTTTATTTAAAGAGTAAAATAATATTAGCTAATTTAGAATAAATATTAAATATATATATAATATAAGTTATTTTTTTTCCCCTTACTTTTAGCCTTATATAAGGCTATTAAGCTTTTTAGCTTTTTTATTAATAGTTTAAATAATAAGACCCTTATAGTAAGATATTATTATAAAAATCAGAATTAAATAAGGTTTATCTGCCTTAATAATATAATTACTACCTTAATTAAGTAATACTAATACTAGTTATATCTTAATAGCTAAATTAACCTTCTTCTTTTAACTTATTTAAAGGACTATATCTTAATTAACCTTTATAATATATTATACCTAATTTATTTATTATACTTAAGTATATTATTTAACCTAACTTTCCCTTTTAACCCTTTTTACTAATAGTATAATAGCTATACTGCCTTACTGTTATAAAATAGCTTATAGCTATATAATTATACTTACTATATAACTAGCTATAATTTTAATCTAGCTATTAGGCCTGCCTTAAAGGCAGCTAATAGAAAAGAACTTTATATAATATATATAATAATTATTATTATTATAAAAAACTTCTTATTAAGGGGCAGATTTAACTTTATTAAAATAGTTATTTTTAATTATAGCTTAATTTAATTAATTAATTATATAAAAGAAAGGTATTATATTAATTTAATTAATTTAAACTAAGCTAATAATATATTATTAAGTCTTAAAGACTTAAAAATAGCCTAAAGAAAAGGTTATCCTCTTTAGTTAAATAAGGCAGCTTTCCTTACTGCCTTTATAAGCTTAGCTATATATAAAAAGTAGCTTTTTAATATATTTATAAAGGCAGCTAATATTACTAGAGAGCTGCTCTTAAATTAGTAACTAGAGAGGAATATAAGGTCAGGATGAATACTATAGATATATAGAGATAACTCTATGGCAAAGTGCTATATAGACTAGCCTGGCTATGGTCTTGGACCATGAGAGCATAGCTAGGGTGGGGAGTCTGCGTACAGAGTTGGATGAACGCGGGGTAAAGGCGGGGTAAAGGCGGGGTTTAGAAATTCTGTTAAAGTTAAAATTGAAGGAATTATGTTAAGTCTGTTACTTTATGTAAGTTAGTTAGCGAAAGTCAAATCGACCTGAAGTTATAACTAGCTCAATCAATTAAATACATATAATGGGGCATGTAACTAATTAACCTTATATATAAGAACAAATAAAGTAAAATTAGTAAAAAAGCAATAGTCTAAACTAGGGATAATATAAGTTATAATTAGATTTATAATTATTATAAGTTACTTAAAATAAAGATAATAAAAATATTACTTACTTAATAATATTCTATTAATACTAACTATTTATAATACCTTTAAATAATTAATAATAAGTATTACTTTAGTTATTAAAAATAGGAAATTAAATACTTTAAGAAATTAGGCTTTAAGTTAAATTATTATTATTAATATTAAAAAGGATTAAAAAAAAAAGTAATAATTAAATTAAAAGAAATAAAGTAAGAATTATATAAGCTTAATAGAAATATAGTAATAATTAATAAAGTATATATACTTTTAACTTTAAAGCCTATTAAGTATTAGCCTAATAAGTATAATAGACTTATATTATATTATAAGTTAAGTATTTATTTTAAGCTATTTAATATTATATTTTTCCTTAAAAGGATTATAAAATTTCTTATTATTATTTACTTAACTTATTATATATATATATATATATTTTCCCCTTATATTTAGCCTTATATAAGGCTATTAAGCGTTTTAGTATTTTTATTAATAATTTAAATCATAAGGCCCTTATAGCAGGCTATTATTATAGAAATTAGAATTAAATAAGGTTTATCTGCCTTAATAATATAATTACTGCCTTAACTAAGTAATATAAATACTAGTTATATCTTAATACCTAAATTAACTTTCTTCCTTTAACTTATTTAAAAGAACTTTAATTAACCTTTATAACTATATATAATTTATCTAATATTCCTAAGTATATTATCTAATCTAACTTTCCCTTTTAACTATTTTTATTAATAATATAATAGCTATATTGCATTAATATTATAAAATAGCCTATAGCTATTTAATTATATTTATTATATACTTAATTATAATTTTAATTTAGCTATTAGGCCTGCCTTAAAAATAGCTAATATAAAAGAACTTTATATAATATATATAATAATTATTATTATTATAAAAGACTTCTTATTAAAAGATAAATTTAACCTTATTAAAATAACTATTTTTAATTATAATATAATTAAATTAGTTAATTATATAAAAGAAAAATATTATATTAATTTCATTAAATTAAATTAAATTAATAATATAATATTAAGTCTTAAAGACTTAAAAATAGACTTAAGGGAAGGTTATTTTCTTTAATTAAATAAGGTAGCTTTCCGTACTGCCTTTATAAGCTTAGTTATATATAAAGAGTAGCTTTTAAATATATTTATAAGGGTAGTTAATATTACTAAAGAGCTATTTTTAAATTAGTAAAGAGTTTTAGGATAATTATAAGGTAAGGGCAGGGTTTAGAAATTCTATTAAAGTTAGAATTAAAGGTATTATATTAAGTTTATTTATATAAGTTAGTTAGTAAAAGTTAAATTAACTTAAATTTATAACTAGCTTAATTAATAAAATATATATAGCAAGGCATATAACTGATTGGTTTTATATATAAGAATAAATAAAGTAAAATTAATAAAAAAGTAATAATTTAAACTAAGGCTATATAAATCTATAGTAGTATATTTAATTTATATTCCTTTAAAGCATTATATAAAATATATATATTTATACTTAATAATATCTTATTAATTATAAAATAAAAGTCTAATAACACTAGCTCTATATTTAGCCTTCCTTATTATAATACTAATTAAACACTTAGTATTTATATTATAAATACTTAATTAATTTAATCTTATAAAACAGTAGCTAATTTATAAATAGTTTTATATTATAAATCTAGTTATTATCTTATTAAAATAAATTAAATTTATTAAGAAATGAAAGGAGACCTTTTATTAGGGCTTTATAATATAACTAGCTAAAATAACCTCCTTTTTTAGCTATCTTATCCCTTATTATTAAAATAAAATATAACTACTTATCTTAAGTAATAGCTTCTTAAAATATAAGTAAAATAGTTAGTTTAATATATTACTAAATATTAACTAGATTTATATAATATTTCTTATTAAGTTAATAAAAGACTTAGCTATTAGGGTTATTTAAGGTATTTAAAACTATAACCTAATTAATAAAGTAAATCTATAAGAAAGTTAGTATTAAAAAAGGTAATTTTATAAGGCTATGTATAAGGATATATTTATTAATATATTAAAACTAAAAATAAATATATTATTTCCTTACTTTTATATTATCTTTTAATAATTTACTTCTTATTTTTAAGTTTTATTTATATTATTAATATTCTTCTAATTAATAATATAATATTTAGGCTAATACTTTAATATTAAGCTTTAATAATATGTATTTTATATAAGTAAGTAATTTCTTTTAATAAATAACAAAATAAATATAATCTCCTAAGTACTAAGCTTTTATAAATATTTAAAATATACTTTAAAGACATTATTATAATATTCTTTTTAGTATTTAACTATTTAAGAGACTATCCTCGGATTTATTAAATAAGAGGTTATAACCTATCTTATTAATTTACTAATATAAATCTCTATTATTATAATTACTTTTTATTTAGAAGTAAATTTATAATTTTTTTTAATAATCTTTACTTATTTTAGTATTAAAATTATATTATTTAGAAGCTATTAAGTATATAATTCTTACTATTAAAGTAATTAAGTTATTTAGTAATACTAGACTGAAGTAGGGACGCCCTTGGTATTATTAGACTTTTAGTACGTGATTATACTAACGCATTTATTTCCTAAGGCCGTGAAGATCATGCCTACCCTGCGACACAAAATAAGGCATATTAATCATTCAAATATTAATTAGTTTCTGATGGATAGTGTATAGCACATTTGATCAAGCTGATAGGGATTAATCCGATGTGGAGAACAAAGATGATGATTGTATTAATCAAGCATGCCTCCGGCCCCCTCTTTTCTCGAGAGGGGTTTTATGTCATATCACGCCCCCTCTGACTAAGGTCAGGATATCGATCTATCAAATGTTTCGTAATACAGGATCATGATCCAACATTTAGGGTTCTTCCAGAGCCCCGCTTCTTCGCCCGTCCTCTACGAGCCTTTCGTTCCTCAAGGCACTAAGGGCACTTCTTGCCCTTCATTCTTCCGCCAGGACAGCAGATAGAACCGCCCAACTTGTTGCATGCCTTGCCATCGCCCCCGCCGCTCTGAGCAGTACACTATCCAGAATTTTCATTAGAAACAAGTTCTATGCTTTAATTATCGACTCTCTAGGACAGGGTATGGGTAAGATAAGTAGTTCTCACGTACCTTTCCCTTATTGCATGCATAGTTTTTGCCATTAACCTTACAGGAGGTTCCGTTGCACTTGCCCCACTCGCCAGCTCTTCTTGTTAAGACGTTGGAATCGCCCTCTGTCGCCGGCGAGACCGCACTGGCGAGAGCCGACGTGGCGGCCAGGATCGCGAAGAGGGATGCAGTGAATCTCATAATGAAGTGCTAAGTAGAATGGATGATGTAGGCAGGAATGAATCTGGTGATGGCTTGGGATGTGCTATGTCCCTCTGGGATATGAGAAGTTGATGAGAATGGAGGGACGGATAATCAGGGCTCGGGGTGGTTTAAGAACACCGCCCCTAAGTAAAACCATCTAGCTATTACCCCTGGAATCTACCGTAGCATGGATTAGCCGCTCGTACGAGGTTGTGACTAATAGTCTTAGGCAGATAGATTATCCACTAATGGCTAAGAGGAGTACTGCAGGACGGGGGTCTTTTGTCGCTGACATGGATGCTTATACGAACTGCCCACGGATAGCCCTGTAACATAGACCGCCTGACTTAGAGCGGCATTTTTGTCATTGGCTGGAAATCGAGCAGAAGGAAATCCAAGGAGGATAATAGATCAATATGAGCGAGAGTAGTAAGGGAATATTAAGTATTTATCTTGAATTCTTAACCTCGGTGCTGTGCAGGCTGGTACCTATAGCCCCATGTAGATAGAACTTTCTATATTACCAGCCTGTTCTAGGTTGCACGCTAAGGGAGATGAAAAACGGAAAAAAGAGGGAAAATTACATGTGATTTTATGTGGTTTTTGGCTGAGGTGGAGCAGCGCGACAGTAAGGGTGCGTTTAGTGAGTTGTTAATTTCACCTGTTAACTGTTGGTTGTTGGTTGTTGGTTGTTGGTTGTTGGTTATTCGCGCCGGGGAAGTGCCAGCGCTAGGTGGATCTAGGCAGCTTGTAACTGAGGGGGTTTTTCCCGGGGCCTAATTTTTAGTTAGTTAGTGTTTACTACGCCCTGGAGAATAGGTCTAATCTCTTTGAGTGGCACAAGACTACAACAAGTAACTTACCCCGCTTTTTTGCAGGTACCTGCCAGGTACGTAAAGTTCCCGTCAAACAGCTTCTTCTTTCAACACCACCAAAATCATCAAAATCTATATATAAATTAACCCTAATAAGTCTTAATTAAAATAATAAGCTTCTAAGAGATATATATATTAGATAAATATAGCTTTAATAGCCTGCCTTTTATAATAGCTATTAATAACCTTATTAATATACCTAATATTCTATTTAAAAAGGGTTATAATAATAATTTTTAACCTTTTAACTTAAAATATTATAATTTTCAAATTAACCCTCTGCCCTAGTAATTATTTAAATTATTCTAGCTTTTTATGCCTATTTCCCTTACATAATTATAAGTTAGATATATTAAAAACTAGGTTTTTTTTTATATTAATAATAGTATTAAAGATAGCTAGAATACCCCCCTTTCTAACTACTTATAGTTATATACTTAGGAAGGCATCTTTACCATAATAGCTTATATATAGCTTAGTATCTTTATTTACCTAGGAATTTATAAGAAAATATCCCTTAAGGACTATTAAAAGGCTCCTAGCCTAGGAGATTAATACCCTCTTTATTTATTTATAAAGTTTATATTATTATAGAAATTTAAGCTAATTATATAGTATTTTTATACTTTTAATTATATTAATCTTAATATAAGTAATAAGAGGGATCTTTTAAAGACCTTTTAAGTAATTAAAAAGTAATTTAAATATATATAAAGGGTATTTATTAAGCTTTATCTTTTAAAGATTAATTTAATTATAAATAAGTATATAATCCCTTTTATAAGCAGATTAAAAGAGATAATACTTATTAAGGAAAAGCCTATATTAATAAGCTTTAAAATCTAAGTTATTATATAATATGGCTATTTTTTATAATAAATTTAATATATAAAAATATTATTAGTTATAGTTATAATAATTAAGTAAGAAGTATTAATATTATATAATAAAAAGGAATAGCTATAAATTAAAATCTCTCTTAGTAATATATAAAGTATTATAATTTAGTTATTAAAAAGGCTATTAATATAAATATATTATATTTTTATAAATAACTTCTTTTTATTATTATAACTTTTTTACCTTTTTTAATAGCTTAAATATAAGGCTATAAGTATAATATACCTTAATTATAATATTATTATTAAAATAAAGTAAGTAAAAAAAATTAAAAAGCTTTTTAATAATATATTTTTATTATTTAATAAGGTATATTTAATCTTAATAAAAGATAAATAAGTATAAATAACTTTACTTATATTTCCCTTATTAATTTATTTCTTTCTTTTCTTTTTAAGTCCTTTAAATTACTTAAAAGAATAGCTTTATAATACTCTTTCTTTTAACTATATACTAAAAGAGAGGAAGTTACTTATTAAAGAGGTATAAAGGCAGAGATATAATACTTATAAGAGGTCTTTAATAGGAATTAGGCTAAAATAATCTCTATTTCTTTTATTATTACTTAATATAATAATAAAATAAATTATATAAATTATAGTAATTAAATAAAATCTTATACCTTATATTTATATTATTATTAATATAATTCTTAATAAGTATTACTTTAATCTTTCTTTTTTAATATTATATATATAAATAGCTTTATTTTATAAAAGAAAATTTAATAGCCTTATTAAAAGCCTTATAATATACTTTAAAATTAAAAAAAAGCTATTTATAATACTATTTTTAATAAGTATAATATTAATAATAATATAAGAAAAAGATATTATATAAAAAAGAAAAAAAATAATAAGAATCTTAAAGTATAGCAAATTTACCTATAAAGAGATATTAATTATATTTATAAAGGTAAAAATTCTAATTACTTAGCTTATAAAGGCTTTTAATAAGGGCAGTATTATCCTTTAAAAAAAGAAGTAAAAAACGAAGTTATTTATAGCCAATATTAGGAAATCAATAGCAATTATAAACCTAATATAGCTATAAAGTATATAAGGTAGCTCTTTATAATATAGCAAGCTGTTAATACTTCTATTATATATAAAATTAGGTATATAGGGATATACCTTAAGTTGCGCTAATTTTAATTGGCTCTAGACCCCTGTCGTGACCCCGTTGCAGTCTTGTGCCGGTCAAAGAGATAACATTGCGGAGTAGGGCGGGTAGTTTTAACTAAAGGAGTTAGATAAAACTATATTTAAAATAAGCTTTCCGCAGGACCCTAGTGCTATATATATACCAGAAACAATTCTATGTACTCTGTAGAATTCTTTTATTTCCTGTTAAAAAAGGCAGAGAGGACTTAATTTAGAACAGGGCTGATGAAAATAACAACAAGACAGAAATCAAAGGCGGTTTATCTATGTAAACGATCGACATAACATCCTGCGAGCAATAACGCGGCTATTAGATTAGCATTAATTGATGCCAGACTATGTTATAGGACAAGGGTAACAGCAGGCGATCCAGATGTTAGGAGCTTGTGCGTTGATGAACAGAAGCTATGGTATACTATGAGGGCATTAGACCTGGTGATAAATCGCTGCAAAGACAGTCCGCTACACTAGTCAAACTCTCTTATACTGGCTCTCAAGCCAAAAGCTTTGTATCTATTACAAGTTTCCATTCTATCTTATGGCAGAGAAAATCAGTAAAACTAAGTACACAGTATCTATCTAACAAGCATTTTCTCATATTCGTCATCCAACTTTAAAGGATAATAAATGCTTAGCAAGGAGAAGTAGTAAACGTTGAGTTAAATACAATGCTTTCTGTATAAGCAGCACTTCAAAATTGCGAAATCTTCACTTATTTCTGTTTCTTCGATATCAGCAACTTCTAACATCAACAATGCTTTTCGAATGTGGTGTTCAACCCTGAATCTAAAAGGCCGGCGTGGAATGCGCGACGATATGGGGCACCGTCTTTCAGGTTATGGTATAATGTCTGAATTGTGATCTAGATGCGTTATTTGCAGCCGAGACTAGTGGTTGAGAGCTTATAATTACCACACAGCACTTGATGCCTTTTGGCCATGTTCCTCCAGACGATATCCGCCGTCATTTTTACATATTGTAATAGAGCTCTGATGCGCTTTCGATGTTCTCGTAAGTGATGTGCAGTAATGCCGGTCTGTTGAACTGGAACCAGGTCTCTTGGGCTCGGAAGGACGACAGGGCTTGTAAGGCGATTTTCGAGGTTAAGTCGGGGTGACGAGACATTCAAAGGTGGTGCGCCTGGAACACTTTTTTGAAGTCTTCTTGAACAGCAAAAGTCAGAATATCCGACTTCCGTGGGTGCTGAGGTCGTCCTTGCCGACACCGCTTTATCAAAAACTTGACGGTTCTGTTGACAGGGAAGAATGGGGAGAGATGAGATGATGTCCGGAGCACCGATCTCCATAGTTGGCAGGATCGGATTCTTGTCTTACGCCCTATTCGTCATGTCAAACGTTGTGTCGTCCGCCGACAAGACCGCAATCAACAACAGTATTGATAGGAAGCTCGTGATCTGCCATATTGGTCCCCATGACTCTGAGGTACCTGCGACCTATGCGACCCATATGATTGTTGCGGTTATTGCGGTTGCTGCGATGACTGTGATCATGGTGACCAAGGAACTACCCTATTCCCTGCCATTGTGAACTCCTAGCCCCTGGCAAGGGAGGTCATCAACAACACGCTCATCCACAAATTCATTTTCATATGCCTGATCTTGTACAATTCTACCATCGAGAAACCGCCAACATCTCTCGCCATCGCCATGTACTCATTGTTCCGCAAGACTATTGACAGGTATACGGCCACAAGCGCGATAAGGACCAAGTTCGGGTCCCAATGTTGAGATTGGTCACCGCCTACCACGCTATGCCGGCTCTTCTGGTACATATCCTCAATACTGGCGCCTCATATGTGCAATCAATGAAGTGCAGGAAGAGCAAGTATACCGAGTCTGACATTGAGGTTACTAACAAGAGAGGGAGACCATACCCCACATCGCGTTCGACACTTTGAAGGAGAGAACGTGGGTGATGATAGACGTGCAGACGATGATGTGCCCAGTCATGTTGCTGCGCTTTTTTATTGTCCCAGGTCGTGTTTTATCAGTTATTAAGAAACGCTGGTCTTCAAAGTGGTTAGCTTAGGTGTAATCACAGTTAACGGTGATTATGGCCTGTTTATAAGAGATGTTTCCAGGGTAAGTTAAGTTTTCTAAAGCAAATCTGTGACGACTAGCTAATCGAACGGAACGAAGACCTCAAATGGCTGAAGCAAACTGGTGTTGAGCGGTCCGAGATGATTCCTCACGTAACCACGTACTATTACGCCCGCCGGGTCTCGGATACATATAACTTCACTCACGTCAACCAAAACAACACTATTGCAACGAAAGTGACTATATGTATGGATGAGTTCATAATCATTAGAAACAGTAGTATTTTGTTGCGTCTAGGGTGACTGTATCTTTATAGATGAGCATAAAGGTGACTAAAATGAAAACCAGTGCAATCAACATCATCCAGCCCAGACTGCTACCAAGACATGATATCGTATGAACGCAATGGGACGAACATGTACTCCTTCCTTCTCATCGCGGAGCTCGTAGCCAAGGTCAACGTAGTGCGTGATAATATGGACGTGAGCACCACCAGATGGAGTGACATGACCAAGATCACGACCATGATGTCGATATTACCTACGGGCAACAATGCCATTCATAACAAGACATTAGTCCCTGAGGCTGGGTCAATAGAACTCTCCATCGCCCCTGGCGGCATCAAGAGTGGACACCCTTCTGCAGAAATCTTTACCGGATGGTCGCAAAACCAGATCCCTGTGGTGCCGAATGAAGCAGATGAAAGAAGTTTTAGTCAAGCGGTAGGTTGCAGCCTACTATACTTGCCCATGGCCCGAATGATATCAGGTTCATTGTCTATACCGAGTGGTTTGTCACCAGTACCTTTCGCAACTCTCGTCAGGCTCAGCGTTGGCGACCTTCTCTCCCACGCCACTGAACCTAGACATTATCCTTCCCTTTTTGCCCACCTCTCCTCCTTGGAGGCAAAGCGCCAGCCAGTCCCTCGCTACCGGCTTATTTTAAAACTGCTCTCACTGTTGCTGAGCATCTTCCAGCCTGATTATCTGCTCTTGCTTTAACCTCCTGAGACTGTTCAAGCAGATGGTTCAACGAGAAGATCTTCATTATCTTTGGTCTTCCAAAATTCTCCTACCTCTGTGTTCATCCCATCCATGTATCTCATACATTTTATCATTGAGATAATTAACGCATGATCAAATCATGGAGATAAAGTCCATTACAGTACCTCCTTTCTTTCAAATCCTCGCAATGAAACGCCAGACTCATTGTTCCCTTCCTTATATTCCTCGAACGGAAGACAACTAAGACGTCGCACTGATATCTGTCTTGCAACCTAGCTTTTGTTCGAGCCTGTTAACCCTCTGGTTGCTGGCATACATAAATAGATCCGCTCTGGTACTGTGAAAATTTAAATTCATCGCTGGTGACTGGCATTAACGGGAACTCCGAGCTTTTCAATACTAGATGGCAGTAAGATCGCCTTCCATTACTATATCAACCTGGGTCTTCGGCGTCTATTTTAGTAGTCTTTAAAACAAATTGATAGTAATAATCTCAATGTAGTCTGGCTTTACACCTGACAGTGCCAACAGGAAATGTCGATTGTCCTTCTGGGTTCATTAGGGGAGAGCCTTGTTGAGGTAAGAGGAGAGATCCTTGAGGAGCTCCAGGAGGACTCAGTTGGTGAGCTCTGAAAGTGGCTTGGACAATTCAGTCCAAAAATTATAAAAAAAACGGCATTGGATGCACCGCGTAGGTTGGTATTGGGCAGGTAAAGGCCAGTTGTGCTCCAGAAATTGTCAACGCACCAGCTGGAAAGCATAAGGATCTACCTACTGTGGCTGATGCTGCTGTAAATGAAGCTGGGCAGCGTAATACCACTTCTAGGGTCTTTACTTACCAGACCTACGGCTCATAAAGTACAGCTCGGCCTCGGATGAATGCTGGGTGTTGATTCCCTGCATTTCTGGAACCTGGGACTACTGCTCTTGGCGCTGCTGATCTTGTCAATGCTAGTTAAACTGAGTTACTGGCTGACTCTGTACCTGAGGGTGAAAGTTGTGCTGGCGCTTTAAGTTATTCAGGGAGCTATTGATGTTGGTCTATTATGTTCTGGACCTAGCGCTCTTGGACATGGTTTCTAGCGTTCGCCGGTGCTCCAACCTTGACCACGTCGTTTTCTTCTGTGAAAAACCTGGGCTGTCTCTGTTCATGGACTAACACTTCTCCCACTTCTACCGGCTACGTTGGAGAGCGAGGCTGGTGATTCGTAAGCGAAATGGGCCACGGTGACGATGAAGTCAAGTCAATACGTTGCGAGCGCCGATGTAAGATCCTGGGACAGAGACTGGTGGAACAGGGGGTCGAGAGTTGGATTGATATCCATCTTGGGTTTCTCTATTGAAGAAGGGGCAGAGTAGGTTATTAAAAGCCAGGATGTTTTTGCGTTTCCTTGGGACCGATCAAGACTCTGAAGTCGCCCTGAGATAACCGTCACTACCTCACAGCAAAGACCTGGCGTATATCACTACTTCTAAGGTTTAGCAAATAATTAGTATTAGGGTCGCGTGTCTAACTCGCTGTTGACTGTGAGAAATTCCATTTGCAGCGGCTTGTCGCTTGTCGCATCTGGTACATGTTTTTGAAGCTGTTTCTATAGGGTAATATATCAACAAAGGATCATCCATCGAAGCAACTGGATGGCGCCGACGGATCTAAGATGTCAAATAGTTGAAGCGGCAATAAACGACGGTTGTTCTCATTCTTTGCAACCAAGTTCAGATATCAGCTGGCACCTAAGGAGGCTGAACGTTCTAACGTCGATAATAACTCATCACTCATCAACATCACTGCCTAGTATACAGCAACAAACCATCTAGGACCTTCAGGAAGGCCACCGTTGTTTCTTCACTGCCGACCCAGACCGAGCCGAAATAAATACAAAGCATTGCATTCCCGAACCTTGGTCGTGAACATTTAATCATTGCCTCACATCATGTACCATCTTTTCTGCCTATCTCAAGGCCGTCAGATCTAACAGCCGTTGCTTCGCCTTCAGGTGCGCAGTCATAGAAGAATACATGCACATATGCCAATACTCATCATCAGATGGCTCTAATTGAACCCGTTCCGAGGTCCAGGTGTGCGTAGTGTCAACAATTTAGGGAATAGTGGTGACACTCTTCCCTCGATCGAGAAGGCTTTTATAATAATGCATCGTTCCTCAAAAGATGCAAAACCAATTATTAAGTGGAGGGATACAAAAACAATGGTGTCAAGCAGCACAGGTAAAGTCAAGATTGACCGAGGCTATCCAAATGACATTTTATTATACGATTGAAATATCGATACTATGGCTTCCCCGCTCTGCCACTCTTCTACTATTGCTCAAAGCCTTGAACAGGAGATCAAAATCGACTTTTCCGCCAGGTCAATGGTTTATCTCGGCGTCTCTCAACTTGAGCGCCTGCGTCTCCAACCTTTCCCAATGGCCAGCGTGAGTGAGATTATTCTTCACTGTCCTCACACGATTCCACACAACGTTTAGCTGTCTCATATCTCCTATTCCGGACTTCTGCTTCAGCCTTTGCCTCATCGTAGGCTTTCTTTGCGACTTTCTCCCTTGCGATGTCTGATTCGAGGGACTCTCTAGCCATTATGATACGTTGTTCGGCCCTTCGATGCATATCTTTGGCATATTCTAAGTCTACATCGGCCTTCTCGGCAAGAGTCTTTAACCACGAAGCATGGTAGCGGAGTCTGTCGGCACTGCTCCTGTTCTCTGGCTCGCTGGTGTTTGCTCTGGAGCGGGTGACTCTCAGACTTGGCCTTTTCTCGCTCAATTCTTGGGTGCTTGAATTGCGGCGGCGCTTGGTTCCGTTGGAGCTCTCTGAGGCGGCAGATTCAGGCATTGTGGACAGCAGTCTGAGGTCATTAGTACACAGAGTGGATGCCTGCTTGTGGAGGTCAACGACGTACTGTGAAGATCGACGCATGGGACGGTAAAATGAGCTCGTTTGGCAATGCGCGGGTAGGTCAGTAGCGCGAATTGCAGTGAGAGTTGGAGAGAATACGACGGTGGATGAAATGAGAAAGACATTGGAAAAGAGCCTGCAGCCAGGACACTCAACAAAAAACCAAATGTTGAGAAAATGCTGCAGTCCGATCTTGGTGCAGGTCTGGGCTGGCTGTGCGGTTACACAAGGCGCCATCTTAAGTTGTGGCTTTTTCAGGCTCAGCATCTCCAGCTTGCAAGCTATGGAATTGAATGTTGTTGTGCAATATGAAATGGTGAGCACAAACAGCATAAAATGATAAAAATTGTGTTTGTATTAGCAGAATAGTTGTTCTTCCAGACCACCCTTTTCGTGGACTGCTTTGGCAGAGCGCACCAGCATACTGAACCTGCAGGCATAACTCGTATTCATGTTTTGCACACTGTATTGTGTACAACCGGCAATATCAGCATCCAGATTGGAATATTGGAATATCTCTATCTTAGTCTACAATAGGTTAAATCTGATTAGGAGTCAAGACACAATATACACACACGCATTAATGTTCTAGATCTAATGGTTGATCTGTCCACCAGAAGGCAACAATGATCAAGCTTGTGGGGCTTGGTACGGTATTGATTGGCGGCTGATTGATCCGCTGCAGTGACCAGCCTCAGGAGCGTCACAGTGAGAGGTGCCCTGTGCAATCACTAAAACACCCTGCAGGTGATATTTTTGGGTGACAGACCGCGGATCTCGCCTCGTAGCCTTTCTCAGTCAATGTCAGTCAATGTAACAGTCACTCAATTGAAAGCATATTGATCAAGACATCTGCTTGTTTATTCCTGGTTCCCTAGTTCTAAGCCGATCAAAATTGATAGCCAATTGCAAATGGGTATTGTTCCTCACGAGCCAACTACACCAAACTCCATTCAAGAATGCGACAACCTGAAAAAGCACTAGCGGGTCATATGGGTAACGCCAATCGCTCGGAAGACGTCATCTCGCTTCTGCTCAGCATCTCTAACGCCGGGCAAGTTGAGGGCATGCAGAAGGGCTGAAAGCTCACGAGCTGCAATCCAGATGTTAGCGTTGATCGACGACAGGATGATAACAATACATGTACATACCGCTGAGTTGCTTGACCTCGCCATAAGTGCGGGGAAAGTTGGGGATGGGATCGCCAGTCTCTGGATGACCAGAGGGACAAGGGCCGTCTAAGCCTCACATGGCCCGGCGTTAGAGACTCTGGCACCAACATTGGTCGTTGCGGCGGTCCTACATATGTCAGTAAAGGTGGGAAGCAAAAGTTTGTGGTACTGACAGGGTGACGAGACGACCATCGATACGACCCAAATGCTCGCCGTGGCTGCGGACGGTGTTTTCGAGAGTGGCAAAACGAGTGATGATCTGCGCCAGTTGGTCGCAACCCCGCTTCGCGACCACGCAGCCCCGCTGTGCGCGAGAAGCCCGCGCTATCACGTGACCAGAACCTGCCGGTATGCTGTGGCGCCTCCGAGTCAGTGGCTTAACCACCAGCTCTTATGGCGCTAGACCTAAAACTGTGTCGGGAAATCTATGGTCCGGATCGACCAGGTTTCGCTAATCTTAGCGCGATTTCCTTTATCTTAAGAGTCTCTCGCTTCAGCCATCTCATCTCATCTTAGCCAATTCAAGGTCTCTTAAAACCTCATTCTCAAGCTCACTTCAGTGCAATTAGCTGGTCATCACCAATAGCTACTATAAACCCCAGTCCGCCATTCAGTCCCTCAAAAATGCATGGTAAGAGAACAGGAAGCCGACTTTGAGCCCGATTCTGCTTTGAGATCACGCAGAGTGCAAGTCTAGCTCTAATTGCACTTTGTTAAGTTTATTGGATCGAGATTCGCTGGTATGCGCTGGCTGAGCCGAACTTACCGGAGCCTGAATATGATGGATGTTGCGTGTAACGAATTGACAGAGTTAAGATGTTCTGGGCTTCTTAGCATCGTGGTTGGTTCGCAAGGCGCTCGTCCTGGCTTAATTGCGGCTGTGATTGCGCCTTTGACCGTTGATGGGATGTTGCGCATGTTGATGGTACTGGGTCTCGATTTCTTAGGGACTGTTCCAGAGAATCGCGGCATCGTTGAAACTGTTGACCATGACCTCAGTAAACTGCAGATGACTTATGAGCTTATGCCGCAATTGATGCTTTATTGGTTAGTAGACTCGCTTAAGCGACAAGAACTGGGATCATATATTGCGTTGCCGGTTTCAGCAGTCTTGCACCTCCATTCCCAGGTCTCGCACTTTCTCTTGCTGTTGTTGAAGATGACGCTGAGTTGGTAATCCTTGATGAACATGTTCAGTTTGCTTGCTGGGTCTGCTCCGATGGGAAACCTGCAGAACCTCGATTCTTCAACCGATGACCTCGTGACGAATTGCATCGCGCATTGCATTGAGGTAGGCAGAAGGGGAATCTGGAAAGACCTTTATCATAACAGCAATTTGTTGGCAGGGGATCAAGACAACGCAAACTACAGAATCTCAGGGATAACAAGAGCAAAGCTCCACAAAGCATTAAATGCGCGTTATTTGACCAACTCTCTACCTCTTGGTTTAATCTTCCGGCGTCTTCTAGTTCTCCGGGCGATTGTTCCGCGATACCTCACAAGTCAAAGACATGCATGACAAATGACTCTTTATTACCGGACTGACCGACAAGATCATTTCTCTCCGTCCCTTGAGGGCGCGCTGTTCGGTAAATTTCAACAAAGCCGCGCCTGAAGCTGCCTGTCAAAGTACAAATACTCATTGTTTCCTCTCTTGGTGCCCTTTGTCATCGTTAAAAATAATTGCAGCCAATGGCCTCTATTCCGGCGTCGCGCTATTTTAAGCCTCAATGGCCCTGGCTAATTTTAGCTCAGAAGTACCTGAACACCTGAACATGGACATCCCCGCGGCCGTAGGTGGCTGTTACAAGTCAAAGAATGCTGTTGTTGAACACATGAAAGGCCATTGACATCTCGGTGAATACTGAGATTAAAGCTGATGAATGTAGCGAATTTAACCAACATGTAATTAAATATATAATGTCTGCTGAATTCTAACAAGAGCAATATCCAGAAACAGCAACAATCACTCACTTCAATCTACTACTACATCTTCCAACACTCACAACAAACGTTTACTTCAAAACAACAACTCACAACAATTTCTTCTCATTTCAGCTTTTTCATCATCACTCACAATGGGATTTAAGTCACCTCACAGAAGGCTCCGACGCAACGGTTCGGGATCTACATCGCAGGGCTCCCCACGCCCTCGGTCTTCCGGATCTACCTCTTCCGGCCCCTCAGGCCCTCAGTCTCCTTGGTCATCCGATTTTCACGGACAGGATGTATCTGGCCGGCCCAGTACTCCATCATCGCCATCTCCATCTCCAGGAGCCTCAAGCGCTTCTGATGCCGCTTCATCCTCTTCTGGGTTTTCGTCGCCTTCAATGGAGGAGCTTCAAACGCCAGGAATCCATGATCAAAATCCTTTCACCTCTCCTGTCACCTCTCCCCTGGAGGATGCAGATGTATCTGTATCCGGGATTGCTGATAAACAGCCGGTCCATTGTCACACACCTGTCCTCAAGCAGGATAAAGCACCAGTCGATGGCCAGCCAGAAGACAATGGGTATGTGCAGGAAACCATTTACCTAAATCACCTCAAAGCTATCTGAAGTGGAATTCAGTTCTTTGTTAGGCACTGGAAGCTTTGTACATTCATCCTATTCGCTGCTGTCTTTATTTTAATCTGCATCTGCATTTTTTACTGGAACAATGTCAATGATTTGTTGACACAATACGGTCACCCTACTTTACCATCCTTGGAAGACCTCAACGCCAAAGTTGGGTATACATCTTCTCTATGGGCTGTTGCATTCTTTATCGTCATCATTTTCGTTCTTACTGTCTGGCACAGTATTGCGTGGAAGAGGTTGGTGTTTACCGAGACTGACCGCTTGACTTCTTGGTGCCGAGGAAAAATGAGTAGCTGGCGGTCTCAGATTTCTCAAGCCATTTATTCTTTGTTTCAGAGCTTGGTAATCAGCCCCATTCAGACAGTCTTTTGGATAGTCCTTTCTATCCCTGGGACAGTGAAATCTTGGTTTATTAGCTTCATTAAGTGGGGCTTTATGAAGGCAGACAAGATTTTCCGCCGCCGATACCTCGTCATCATTGTCACAGCAGCCGGCGGTATTTATTATATTCGGGAAAATGCTTACCCTCTTACTGCAGTTGAAACGATGGCAGCCTTATCTGAGAGGTACCGAGAAATTGACCCCTTTCTTTACTTTAGCTTGGAAGGATGCCGCTATTTTCTATACTACTACTTTGTCTGCGCTGAATATTTCTTCCCTGCCAAGTATGAGTATAACATCATGAATGACCCAGTGGCCCAATTCTTTGCTGCTTGGGTTGGAGGTACCATTGCTGTTACTTATCTAATCGGAAAGATCTTTGACTTAGTCATGCAGACGGGGGGAGATGTGCAGAAGAAGAAGGACGATGGGCAAGATAACGCAAGGTAATTGGCTTGGTATGACGAATAGGCATAGGACCTTTGGTGGGATTGGTCTTTGGCGATTTTACCGATGATGTTTCAACGGAACATGTTTTTGCTTTTTTTCTTTTGCTTTTAGAGATGCTGGATGGGTTTGCGGGTGACGGATAGATTAGGTGTTGGTGTTTTGCTTATGTTGGAGTTTAGTTTACTATCTATAGACTGCTTTGATACCTTTAAATATCGCATTGAATTAATTGTCTTTACTACTCTTTCTTCTTCCTTTAGATATATATCAATAACGAGCAGAGGCTTATAGAGTTATAATACAGTAAATGGGCTAGCGGGTTTACCTAATAATGAATCTGTTATAAAGGTGATAGAACGAATAAATGAGGCACAAAGGAGTGATGTTGTCAGCCCTTATGCTCAACGCAGAGATGTTAGGTCAAAGAGGCAGCCCGGGATCAATAGCGGACTGTCAACCATGCGCCCTATGGTTTGTAATCTGGTATCAGGACCGGTAATCGTACATCAGGAAACCCGCAAAAGGGACCAGCAACGAAATCTTCAGATGCTACTGTCGCTTTGGCGTGGAGTTGATTTATAAATATACAAAAATCAAGACAGCAGCTGGTGCACGACATATCTGGGGCAATTATATGGGCAGTTAGTACAGACGGTGAGCCCTACCTTAATGCGCGACCTGGGTTACCTTGTGATTGAGGGGATGCATGTTTAGTCTGGGCTAAGGGGCCATAAGATATTGCGGCATGTTATATCCCTGAATCATTACATGATGATTGAACATGGGCTAGAGAGAAGGGTTGAGATATGAATACGCGATGGCAATGGCGGATTGATATAATAGGACTATGGAAATTAGTTTGGCGCTCTGGAATAACCCTACCTTTCAGAGGCTCCATGGCACATACCACTGTCCAACTGTCCATGAAGACCTATCATGGTCTTACAACAAGTTGGCATCCGGGTGGCCACGTTCTCTTGGTAATCTGTTATGGGGCTCGGCCATGTATTCATTGTCTCTGATCTTTCTGCTGAAGCACAGCATAGATACCCTTCTCAGGACCAGGTTGTTATAGACAAGACCTCAACCCTGCAGGCCGCGCTTTTCGCGGTCCTGTCTCACGATATGGCTCTAGGTACTACGGCAGACCGCATGCTGGTGGTACAAAATACACAGAGGTCTGCAAGCCTCTGGTGCCACAGCCCTCGTAGAGGCTACTCATTCCGGCGGCCGTTGGAGGGAGCACCTCCTTGGTGAATTTTCGTACGGCTTTTTTGAGACAGGGCTCGACTGACTTACGAATCATGTGGCAGTACATATATAAGATATAATACTAAGTATAAGCAAAGTATTATATTTCTTAATAGTAAATATAATATATATTAGGCTTAACTAATATAAAGATATTTTATTAATAGCTAGGAAACTAAACTCTATAATATTAAAAAATATATATTTATACATTTAAATAATAATATAAGTTAATTTAAGTTAATTTAACTTTAGTTATCTTATATAATTAAGTATAGTTAAACCATACTTATTTAACTAGGTTTTAGTTAATTATTCTAGTTTATGAGGCAGGGCTAGTATTATTATTAAACAGGTACTAGGGTCTTATATACAAGCAGGGATGCTTTGAGATTGCAACTAAAATGGTAAAACCTCTGAGGGGCAGAATTTAACAAAACATAACATGAATATACCAATCTGGATCAATGGACCGAATACACGTAATGTCAGACAGTTATGAGTCAAACCAGTGCAGTTCGATTTGACTGGGATTGGTTGGATTTTATTGGGGGGGGGGGGGGGGGCACGTGACGTAATCGCTAGGTCGTCACAAGTTACGTATTGCATTACTGGGCCGCCTCTTTCGATTGAGCAAGATAATGACGCTTGAGGGTATATATCTCACATTAGAAGCAATTGAAATCCCCCAACTTCCTTCTCCCCGCTTTAAATTCTTCCAACTGTCTCGTTCCCAGCCTTATTTTTAGGGTCTGTAGGTTAAGTGGAGCTGATGAAACAGGCAAGTTTTGGGCCCAACTTATCAGTTATTGCGTTTTGGCTAAACGCGTGATCCTTTCTCTGGACTGCGATTAAGAATTTTCACTCATGCCTTACGTCACTCAGGGACGTTTCCCTGCTAAACTCTAACTGATACGTGCTCCGCGACGTCACATCATCAGTATTCTATCTAATTTTAGAGATTCTCCCAAGGATTATGCGGCAGCCATTCCGAATACAGAAATGCTTTGCTTAGATGTGATTGGCTCAAGCTAGCGAGCGCGCTATAACCAGACAGGTAATGCTGTCAATATCTCTCATTTGCCAGCATCTTCAGCTCGCTCCATTCTCGGGACTTGTTTTTAAGCGAACTGACATATCTGTACGGCGCAGCAAAATACCGGTAAGATAAAGGAAATCCATGTAGACTTTCCACAAACCAGAGAAGCTCTGCGACATTAGGTCCTTCGGCTTTCGGTTAGCTCGGTATGTAGTAGGGCAAATTTTCGCTTATGCCAAGATCCAGGGTTCCGGGTTTCCAGAACATATCAGTTTCCATTAGGCAAGCGTATAAGAGACGGGCATCCACCCGCAAGCCAGGAGAAGGATGCCTTCTAGTCGGTTGTCTTCCTCAATTTTATCTATTACACTTTCTTGTTATATTAATTCAATCATAATCATTTTTGTACAAAAATCAGCCTCTTGTCATGGCATTTTCAACCATGTTGGATGAGCCATCCACAATTCTCCACCATGAGGTCACTTATCCCCTGTTGTCGCCTTGCGAGACTGTAGTCGACGGCACTACAACACTTTCAGATATTATATATGGGGTACCTACTCTTCCTACATATTAGCACATGAATCCTATGCTGACCGCGCATCAGAATCTTGGAGACGTGAATTTTCAGAACCTTCATCTCAGCAGAGTGATAGCTTCAACTAGCGGGTTAATTGCTAGTCCAACAATGGCTCCCTCATTGGACAACTACACAACACCAATTGGCCTGGAAGGCTGCCCCATCCCTACAGTCGGGAATGCAAAGAGCGTACGAATGAAGTCTTCTCAAAACCAAAGCATTGACTGACTGATCTGTATTACAGAGGCGTCGATTGAAAAATCGAGAATCGCAACGTCGCTTTCGTGAGCGCAAGGACCAATTACAGAAGGCTCTCCAGCAACAGTTGGATCATTCTCGCACAGAATATGAAGCACTCCTTTGCAAATACACCGAGAGCACAACCGAAGCCGCTCTTCTCCTTCAAGAGAATGATTCACTTCGGTCAGAGGTCAAGGATCTTCGGCGACATCGACAACTAATGTTGAGCGTCATGAAGTCGCTCCAAGGCTCAAAGCCGTTATCTGAGTTTGGAGATAGTGGAGTGCTATTGGGTGATGTGATACACTACCTTGCGGATGTATCAGATGATCCGACAACACCCGACACAAACTAAGTTTATCGCCTACGACATTGTTGGTGTAGGTGGCCTTTGACGACGGTCTCTGGCATCCTCTCCTCGAATCTCATCGTTGTGTCATATTATAGACTAGAAGACCAATGGTAATAATCTTTTAGATATTTTTTTCAGGTTCCTTTATCTTTATGGTACTGATTTATGGCTATGGAAATGAGGGGTTTTGGCCCCACCACCCTACCAGATGGCGAAAGAAGGGTCCAGAATCTCCACTCAAAGAGATTGAACGACATCACATCAGATGCCGCCACGACGTGGAGAGAGCCAGGAGAAACGTCTCATCTTCGTCGGAGGCCCGGCGCTGGTAGACAGGTCAGGGCCGATTCGGTCCAGCCTTCTTCAGCAAGCACATCGCCAAAGGAAATCCCAGCAGAGGCAGAATGCGGCAACGGAGCGAGAACTTCTCCTTAGGCAGAGGAGGGATATATGTGCCTGCAGCGACAAAGCCTCACTTCCTACATCGCCAACCCTAGGAGCCTCGGGCGATACACGGTATCAGCCTATTAGGCCAAAGGGGTATGCGACCCCTGGCACAGGACAAGGCCTTTTGTGTTCTGTCTGCGGGAAACCCTCAGCTTCGCCAGGCCAAATTGTCCCTTTGCAAGCATGGGATGTAGGGGCGGGGGCTTTCGATCCAATGATTCCATTGGACGAGACTACCTCTCAATTGAAAGTCCAGGAGATTCTGCATTTTGCATGCACTTCTATCTGGCCAAACTTCCGCCCCTTGACCTATGCGTCCAAATGCTATCAATCCTGGGTATTCCCATGTGACAACAGAGTACGCCTGTACACGGTTCTATGGGCAGCTTCCTACCATCGAGACGTCCTCAACGTGACCTATGGCGGTCCGACCTACCAAGCTGGATCAAAAGAGCAACTCATTTTGAAAGGGTTGACTCTGAAATCCCTGCGGAATGAAGTTGAAGCATTTACCGGAGCAAAACCTCTCGATAGTATTATCATGTGTATCCTCTACTTGGCGGTTAACGAAACAACCGATGCACGGATATATCGCGACCCCAGTCCTTTCAACCCTCCATTTACCTACCTCCACGCCCTGGATATTTATGGTAGTCGAGATTACCACCCGGTTCATTGGACAATTATACAAGATCTACTTGCTCGACATGGTGGAGTGGAAGCTCTTCAAGATCATGCGCTTGCTTGGCTTCTTTCATTATCTGACATCATGGGCGCGGTAAACACGCTGCAGAGGCCAATATATCCCTGCCTGGATATCCATGGGAAGAGAATGGTCTTGGAATCTCCTCTGATTCTGTTTAGACCTTGTGCCTGGCATTTTGCTCTGGAAAGTGCCGGATCTGGTTTCGAAGAACTACTTTCAATAAACCCCCCTGTGCGTCGAGGAATTGTGGCAACGTTTTCACAGATCGGACAGCTATCGTGTGTGCTACAATACTACACGATGGAGTCATTTAATCCAGAGGTCCTTGACCTTCTCGGTGATTGTCGAAACTATGTTCACCACAACTTGTTCTCTTCACCCGACACTAGCTCCGCTGCAGAGGAAATTCTGCAACTTTCTGACCAAGGACCCGAGGCAATCGAGTTGTCGCGAGAGACCTATCTGACTTGCCGGCTTGCATTGTTCCTGTATGCAACGCATGTTACCTTCCCACTTCCAAGGTCGGCTACTGTCAGAAGACAACTTCTACAGCAATTATGTCACAAAATTGAGTTTCTGGCAGAGAGAAGCACGGCTAGACGGTTGCTACTATGGTGTGTTAGTGTTGTCCTTGTCGCCTCGGACATAGGGCCAGAGAAGGCGATAGTCGATCTGTTTAAGATGTTGTGCTACGAGTTAGAACTCACAGACTTGAATGGTTTGCTGATGTTAGTTCGAGAGTTTGCATGGGTGGATAAAGCAATCGACCACCATTATGAGAGGTTAGATGTTGTATTAACTATGGATCAATAAACTATTCTGTAGCTTTACTATGCCATTAATATTTGATGTCTTATTGTAGACTGGTTGCGTGACAGAAACAACGACTTTGTGCCTTAGTCTGCCAACCTCAGTATCCTCCCGCTGAACTATCTGCCATTGGTTTGAACTGGACCTTGGTAGGCTAGTCCGTTATCCCTCTTCTGGCTGCCTCTTCTATAATCGCCACTATAGCCATAGCACCGATGCAGGTTACACCCAGTGATATAATATGCAACAAATCATTAAGGATATAGATGCTATTAGCAGCTTTAATCTGAACTTTATTGTCTAATTCTAATTATATAAGTTTTAGATAAGGTATTATAACTCCATAGTAAGAGTATATCCTATTAGCCTTCTTTATAAATGGCTTCTTCCTCGCGCGCTCCCGCAGGCCCAGGCCCACAACGCCCTCCACTTCCACCTCTGACTCCCCTCGGAATGCAGTCCACGTCTATTCTCGCATCTCCAAGACTCTACACCAGCCCCTCCACCTTCTTCCCCCCCACGCAGATGGTGGCCCCCAAGCGAAAGCTCTCTCCAAGCTTCCAAGATTTGAGCAGTTCATCTCGGACTGCTCGTCCGAGGATCGAGGAAAGCACTGGCCTCACGCCCACCAAGATCCTCAAGCAGTTGTCGGGCAACGAGCGTCTTACCGATGATGTTCTCAACTTGATCTGTCAAGTCATTCGAACCAAGTGCGACACCTCCAACGGTCGCGCCCTGGTCTTGCATCCGCTGTGGTTATTTGACAATGACCACTCTCCCAAGCTTCCGCGGGAGATCCGTCAACTCAGAGACGATCGCTGGCTCTGTTTCCCTATTCATCACGACGGGGATCACTGAGCCCTTGGGACTTTAGAGCCGGTCAGTGATGGGTTCCTCTTCAACTACTACAACTCGATGGCTGGGGAAGCACGCTGCAGGAAGGTTGAACATCGTCTCCGTCAATGGCTCGACAGGTTCGGGCATCAGGGCCGCGAGCTTACCAGCGTGCACAAGGTACTGGCCCCTCCTCATCCTCTTGACTCCCAAATAATAACCTGATGCAGAAATGCGCAAGGCAACACGACCATTGGAGCTGCGGACTCTTCACGGCGACGTTTCTGCAGGCCATCCTGTCCAACAACCCTGTTCCCGACAAGCTCGGCGTCCAAGCCAAGCAGACCGAGTTCCTCAGCCTCGTCCGAGGCTGCATACCCGACAGTCCCGGCCTGTCACTCGAAGAGACCTTGGCCCTCAAGGGACTCGCAAAGGGAAAGGCAAGGGACGAACCGACCTCTTCCTCCTACACATTCAACGACAGGCTCGCGTCCATCAGCATGGCCAAGCTCAACCAAGCCTTGGCTTCTGCAAAGACGCGGCTTGAACGGGTAACTGCGGCGGAGCGAGAGGCAATGGAGACACTTGTCGCCATCGAAACAAGGCTAGCAGCGCAAGCAAGTCTCGATACTCAAAAGACAGATCTGCAGCAAAAGATCGCATCTGAGCTCTTGAAGAACCAGGAACCACTGACCCCGTCTCGGACCCAGACCCTGTCAGAGCAGCTCGTAGACCATCACAACCGCCGTCAATCGCAAGACCAGGCACTCCGATACGAAGGAACACTGTGCGGCGTAGACTGGCTCGCGAAGCACCTCAACATCGGCGACTCTACTCTGCAAGATCAGAAGGTGGCCGAGGATGCTCTGTCCAATGCGAAGCAAGAGCTGCTAGCTGCTGGCGAACACGTTGTCAGCTGTCAGAATGCCATCGACGCAAAGTCCAATCACGACACTCTTATTCAGATTCAGGCTGTGCTTGAGGGGTTGATGTTGAAGCATCAGGAGTGGGAGGCTGTTGGGAGGCAGGGCAGGGTGCATCTTGCTGAGATAGAGACAGACATGGGCATGGAGGGAGGGAATGAAGACGGATCTGTCTGCTGTGCTGTGTTTTATGTGTTGATATGTCTGAGTTGAGTGTAGATAAAATGAGGCCATCTAGAATCTAACATTGGATGGCTTGCTATTGCTCGAGGCTGGGTATCCGGCGCGAAGGCCCTGTAACGATCCAACACCAAGAGTACAAACATTTACCAATGCTAATCCTGTATTCTATTCTACGTGGAGATCCGGTGTTTGCCTGTAGCAAGCTCACTCTCACTGACTGGTCACTAATGCCAACACGTTGCGTCTATGCCAACGCGCCGCGCCCAGCGCATCCTCGCCAAATATTAGCGCTTATCTGCCTAGCCTGGCAGTGACTTGACCCCATAAATCATTCCCCGCTTTTATCTTAACAGGTGGAGGAAAGGCCCCATCTGATCATTCTTAGCACTAATACAATCCAACTACATTGACAGAATAGCAAACGGAAATAACACGACTAAACACCATCCTCACTCCTGTTCTTCTCTCCATTCTTCCACCAATACCACTCACTCCAGAACTCCTTGCTCTTTTCAAGCCTTGTAGATAATTCCTCCGTCAGGCCAGCCAAATACGCGCTCTGCTTACTCGGGGGCGGCATCTGCAACAGCTCAACAAACGGCCCGTCCTCGTTGATGATCCAGTTGGTCTGCGAATGCAGCGAGTCGATAAAGTCGGTCAAGGCATTCCAGTCGTCGCAGATGCTGTGCATGAGACGCAAGTCCTGCGAAACGTCATGGAGCATCCGTCGGAGTCGAGTATCGAGCAGCTCCCTCGCCCTCGCCGTCTTGTTGCTCGGGTCTTGGGGCTCGTGCTTTTTCGGCCACAGGTAGAAAGAGCTTCTTGTTCTTTTCAGCCAGCCTTTGAATGACACTGTCGTTATGACCGGCATGCGCTCCATGGACTCGGCAAGCTGAATCGACTGCTCCACGGCGTCGACGAGCTGTGCCACATTCCTCGGCAGATCCAGAACCCCAGGCCATCTGATGTTGCCGAGTATATCCTCGTCGTTCCGGTTTCGACTTCGCGCCTCTTGAGCCCATGAGTTGAGGTGCTTCATCGTATCCTCCAACGTGTCATGCCGAGAGCAGCTTGGATGTTGGAGCTTGGGGAATGGCGGTGCTGACGAGCAGTCGCGGAGGATCTGGCAAGTTGACGAGAAGTGATGGTCCCGATGGTGAGTCAACCAAAAGGTATAGGACCTGAGAATGGAGGTGATGCCTGGTGGTATTTTCGGTGGCAGAGACTGTCTGAGCACCCACCTGCTTACATTGCCTTGGGCAATGAACATGTCATCTGCTGGCGTCCACGCCGCACTATGCGAGCTGCCCATAATCATCCTCAAGGAACGCACCATACGATCCATCCACCACCTGAAAAGATCCGGACTCAAGTCTTGAAACTGGTAGCCGACAAGACGGTTCAATTCCAGCGCCCTGATGTACAGCTGGCGTGTATGCTTGATGCTTATGCCGCAGAACTCGACGTCTCCGAACATCCTCAGTCCTCTATGGTCGCTTTTGTTGGTAGCCAACCACCAGCCTATATCCTCGTCATTGATCCTGGTGATGACATAGGATTCAAGATCTGTGCAGGCCTCGAAATTCTGGAGCAGTCGGAGCAGCGAGCGGTGGCGTTGGTCGCAGCACTAGACATAGACAGAGAGCAGCGCCTAGAAACAAGACAGCTGAGAGGTAAACGACCCGAGATGAGGCTGGACGAGGTACTCTCCGAACCTCAGCCCTACAGCGCTCTTGGTACTCTCCAATCTCACGCTGGATCTGCTCTTGGAGCAGTTCCATAAAGTGCGGATCATCAGGGGAGACATGGACCAAGCCAAGATCAACGGCCGCAGCAGCGTCTCGCCCAGAGGACCGGGTATAGGGCGTGATGTTGGACTGATCGAAGTGCAGCAGGATAGGACGCAGAGGCGACGCACTGAAGTTGCTGTGAAAGCACAGCTCTACTGGCTGTTGGTCTGCGCCGGCCTGGCCGTTGGGAAGACGGAGTGTAAAGCGGACGACGCGGTAGTCTGACTGAGGATGTGCCGGCGCCTGGGCGCTGTCGAGGAGCGTTCGACGAGACGGTCGTAGGATGAGAGGCATGTTGGAGAGGAGGGAGATGGAAATGCACAGGCCAAGACCGGCGAGGAAGCTATCGCCCTTGTCAGTCTTGTGCGTCGGGTCTGAGTGAATGCGTGCGTGCGTGCGCTTACGAGACGAGTTGACTCCCAAGGGCATCAAACATGGCGAGTCAAGTTGCAAGAGAAAATGAGGCGTCCTTTTGGTGGTGATGAGAGATGGATGGCTTGTGCGTCGAGAACAAAGAACAGGTGAGGGGTTGCGAGCAGAGCTGAACCAGAAGCAGAACCAACAAATGAGAAGAGATTGAGTATTTTCTCTTCTGTTTAGCTTGGATAAAAATAGATGAATAATAAATAAATAAATAAATAAATGTATCGTGTTGAGACTGACAAGTGGTTGAGATGAGCTGACTACACGTGTTTGTGTAACAACTCGCCTATTCCAGTCATAGCTAGCTTCACCAACATGATTGCCTGTCCGTATCTGCTCAGAGTGATAATAAATAACTAGACATGAACAGATAACATGATGTAAAAAATAAAGTAAAATAATTCTAATTGTTATACCGCACCAATACTAAATCCCATGGCCGAGTAGACTACAGTACCATGTCTAGATGGCCACTCGCCCACTGAAATTCTTCATTTTCTTATCTAACCCTTTGGCAGAAACTGATGTACCAGAAACTCCAAAACTCCCGCCGTCGGATCAAGCACCAGATCAACCTGCCGACGTCGCCGAGCCAAGCCTTAAGCAACCTGCGTCGCTCCTCGGGTACTTGGTCTCGAGCCCGAACGCTCATCTCGGCGATGCTGACGAGCTGCTTGATGGCCATGTGATGCTTGTTGATCTCTTGCAGCGATCTTGGCTGTAGGATGAGGTTGGCTCGACGAGGTGGTGTTGGTTGACCGAGGGTTGATGGTGTTTGATACAACTCATTCGGGTTGCCATGGCCCTCAGCAGAACTCTCAAAAGGCACATGTCCAAGCCGTCTCAGCTGGACCAACATCTCTGGCCTCCAGGGTCGACACGGTTCAGTCTTCAGAGCGTCATTGTAGGGTGTTTTGGGATGAGGACGAGGTGTGCTGGCGCCATCAATCTCATCATCGGAGCCCGCCACGGAGTCTGTGTCATCTGGAACTCGGAACGAGCTGCTTGATACCGGGCTCTCTCGAGAACTGATCGCATTGCGGCTTCAGAGGGTGTTGACAAGAGCCTTGCGAGATTTTCTTTGCACTCTGACAGAGATACAGGTACTAATAGTATTATAGCTACTTTATTATAATACCTATTATTTAAAAAAGCTTATAATTACCTAAGCCTAATAAGTCTTACTTAATTAAAGGCTATAATATAATCTTTAAAATTAAAAAAGCTTTTAAGTAAGATAAAAAAAAGTAAGATAATATATTTTAGATAATAATTATAAATATTAAAAAGATATAATTTAATAAAAATAATACTAGCTATATTAAAATAATAATTTTTAATTATAAGATTTTCTTACTTATATAGCCTATTTATAAAAATAAGAATTAATTAATTAAGTAAAATATTAAATATACAAGGGAAAAGTATAATATATATATATTTATAATATATACTTACTAAATATATTATTATATTAAGGCTCCTTATTAGGCCCTTTACCTAATTATAAGGCCCTTATTGATATTAATAATATACTAATATTATAGTTAATTTACTTATTTAATTATATAATTTATTTTATAACTTATTTAATTTTATTTTTACTATTAATACTAAATTTATAACCTTAAGTCTTTAACTTTAAGTAATTAAACTTATATAAAACTTGATATATTTTTTTTATTTTTTTATAAAACCTTTTAATTACCTTACTTTTATTTATATTATAATATATTATTCTTTTTATCTTTACTAGCTATTAATTAACTTTATAGCCTTTATTAGCTTTATTAATTATTTCTTTATATTATTAAGCTATTATTTATATAAGTTTTTAATTAAAATCCTTAATTTAAAGTCCTTATTAAATCTTTTAGTATTTATTTTTATAAGCCTTTTTATAATAAGGAATTACTTTAGCTTTTATAATAACTTAATGTATTTTTTAAAATAGTTTTTAAAAATTATTTACTTTTTATAATATTAATATATAAGTAAGAAGACCTTATAGCCTAAAGTAGCTTGCCTAATAAAGGTAATATTATCCTCCTTATTTTAAGTCTTTTTAATCTCTATTATTATAATATAAAGCTTATTCTTATATTTATAATCTTTAAGAGCTACTATAAAATAAGGGATTAAGTTAGGCATTTTGGTATAAAAGGCCTTATTAGGTAGCTATAGGCTTCTTTAGGGCATTATAATAATGCAGCTATGATGCTGTTAGCAGTTGCGGTTAGAAGTTATTTAGGTCAGATGACTTACTGCGTGATGGATGATTAAAGCGTGGCAGTAGAGGTTAATAAAAGACCTTTTAGGTAGGTTATAAGAAGAAGGTTAGGGCCAGCTAATAAGCAGGGCTTTTTAGCTGGTATATATATAGCTAGGTTTAAGCTATAATTAAGGCAGTTAATTATAATAATTTAACTTAATAAAGCTTTATTAGTTATAGGGGTAATAAATATTTAAATTATATAAAATTTTAAAGATATTTAAATATACCTTTTAAGGCTAATTTATAAATTTAAAAAAAACAAAAAAAAACAAAAAAAAGTATTATTACTTTATTATTAAGTTAAGGAAATATTTTTTAAAAGTTTTTTTTTTATAAAGAAATATATTATATATATTATTAAAGGGTTTTAAGTTAAATAAGTTATATTTTATATTAATTATATTAAGTATTTTAATTACTTATTTAATATTTATTATTTTATTTTATAATAATAATAATCCTAGTTTAACTTATTACTTTTTTATTAATTTTAGTTTATTTATTTTTATATATAAATTTAATTAATTATATGCCTTATTTTATATATTTAATTAAGTAACTTAGTTATAACTTTAAGTTTATTTAACTTTTACTAACTAATATATATAAATAAACTTAATATAATTCCTTTATAAAACTCTGCCTTTATTATATATTTATCCTAAAACTCTATATATAAACCCCCCTTACTAATTTAAAAGTAACTTCTTAGTAATATTAACTACCCTTATAGATATATTAAGGAGCTACTCTTTATATATAGCTAAATTAAGGGTTATAAAGGCAATAAGAAAGGCTACCCTATTTATTTAAAGAAAATTACTTTCCCTTAAGGCTATATCTAGGTTTTTAAGACCTAATAGCTTATTATTAACTTAATTTAAATTAATTAAATAAATATAAGACCTCTTTTTTATATAATTAATTAACTAAACTAGGCTAGAATTAAAGATAATTAATTTAATAAAGTTAAATCTACCTTTTAATAAGAAGTTCTTTATAATAATAATACCTATTATATATATTATATAAGGCTTTTCTTTATTTACTACCTTTAAGATAGGCCTAATAACTAAATTAAAATTATAATTAATTATATTATAAGTATAATTATATAACTATAGGCTATTTTATATAATAGGTATTAAGGCAGTATAGTTATTATATTATTAATATAAAAGGTTAAAAAAAGGAAAGTTTAGTTAAATACTATACCTATAAGTTTATAACTTAATTTCTTACTTAGTTAGGCTATAATTAACCTTTAAGTAGAAGTATAATAGATAGATTAGGTATAATACCTTTTTTTAGGTAGGTTAAAGGAAGAAGGTTAATTTAGCTATTAAGAAATAACTAGTATTTATATTACTTAGTTAAGGCAGGAATTATATTATTAAGGCAGATAAACTTTATTTAATTCTAACTTGTATAATAATAGCCTAATATAAGGGCCTTACTATTTAAACTATTAATAAAAAGGTTAAAAAGCTTAATAGCCTTATATAAGGCTAAGGTAAGGAGAAAAAGAAATATTATATTTAATATAATTAAACCCTTAATTTTAATATTAAATATATAATTTATTAAGTATTTAAGGCTTCTTAATTCTAAATATCTTAATTATTAATAATATATTATTACTTCAGGCTTTTTTATTTTTTAATAATTTATAAGTTATATTATAAGTGCCTTATAAGAAATATAGCTTATATAGTTAATTTAAAAATACATTTTATTATATATTAATTAAACTTAATTATTAAGGTATATAAAGCCTAATTACTTATATATTAAATAATATTTTAATTATCTCTTTAATCCTATTAATACTTAAGTTAATATAGTTTTATTAAAGATATTAAATTTATCTTTATTTAAATAATATATAATATAATTTAAAGTATAAATATATATTATATTATATATATTATTATATACCTTAATTTATATATCTTTATATTTAATAATTAAAAGCTATTTAAAACTATTATATATATTTTTTTTATAAGTTTATAAGTTAGCCCCTCTTTTTCTTACTTAGCTATATCCCTTTATATAGCTTTCTTTTTAAATCCTTAAGTTTTTACTTCTTATATTTATAAAAGTTTTTATTAATTAAAAGGTTTTTATAAATAAATTATATAAATAAGAAAATCTTATAATTAAAGATTATTATCTTAATATAATTAATATTATCCTTACTAAACTAGGCCTTTTTAATATTTATAGCTATTATATATAATATATTACCCTTACCTTTATATTACCTAAGAGCTTCTTTAATCTTAAGGATTATATTATAGCCTTTAGTTAGATAAGGCTTATTAGGCCTAGGTGCCTGCAGGCTTCTTTAGAGCATCGTGACAGGGCAGCTGTAATGCTGTTAGCAGTTGCAGCCAGAAGGGAAAGTCAGGTCAGATGACTTACTGCAGAAGCGTGATAGATAATTGAAGCGTGGTATGCTGCAGGGGTCGATAGAAGACCTTTGAAGTGGGTTAAAGGAAGAAGGTTAGGGCCAGCTGATAAGCAGGGCTTTTCAGCTAGTATATATATAGCTAGGTTTAGGCTATAAGTAAGGTAGCTAATTATAATAATTTAATTTAATAAAGCTTTACTAGCTATAGGGGTAATAAATATTTAAATTATATTAGACTTTAGAAATACTTAAATATACTTTTTAAGGGTTTCTTAAGGCCTTTAACTTAGGCAGCTTATATAATAAGTAGCTTAAGGATATCTAGTAGCAGGCTAAAGAGGTATTAAAAAAGACTAAGAACCTATAAGAATAAAAGCAAGGTAATTACAGGGTTTAGGAAAATAGAAGAAATATATTAAGTTTTATATAAGTTTAATTACCTAAAGTTAAAGACTTAAAGTTATAAATTTAGTATTAGTAGTAAAAAGAGGATTAAATAAGTTATAAAATAGGCTATATAACTAAATAAGCAAATTAGCTATAATAATACTATATTATTAATATAAATAGGGGAAAAATATTATATATTCTTTTTTATCTTAAAATAACCTTAATGCCTTAAATCTATTTATAATATTAAAAATATAAATAATTATCTTAGAATTTAAAATAAATATACTTTATAATAAATATTTAATACTTAATATTAAAAAAGTAATTACTTCCTTTTAGATTAATAATTATAAATTAAATAATTAATTTAATTTCTTTTTTTAGCTTTAAGGTTCTTATTAAAGCTTTTTATATAATTCTTAAACTTTTTTTCAATTTTTAATTTATTTATTTTTAAAGTTTAAGCTACTTTTAAAATAATAAATATTTCTTAAATATATTACTTATAAAAGGCTACTTAATATAATAAAAAGTTTAAATCTTTTATTTCTGTTTATATAATATATATAGCTCTAATATCTTTATTAATTAATAAAGATACTTTATAAAGCCTTTTCTTATAAAGTTCTTTTTTAATTTATTAATCCTTAATTAACCTTACTTCTTATCCTTAAAGAATAAGGCTTAAAATAATATTTTAAAACTTCTTTTAGCTATATATTTAATTATTAACTTCTTATTTCTATATTTAATAAGTTAAACATCTTATTAAAATTAGATAGAAAAGGTAAGTAAGAGGTAAGTTCCTTTTTTAATTATTTCTTTATTTTAGCCTTATTTAATTTAGAAAAAGATTTTAAAGTATTATTTTAAGTTTTATTATAAGTCCTTAAACTAAGTATTTAAGTATTATATTTTTATATTTTCTTTAAGTTATGTAATATATATTACCTTTTTTAAAAGATAATATATCTTTCTTAATTTAATTTATTATTTAATATCACGTTTAATATCTTAAAATACTATTTTTAACCTTATTTTCTTTTTAATATATTATTAATATTATATACAGCTTGAAGGCTAAAAAGAAATTAGGAATTAATATTATATTATATTATATATATTTATTATATATAAGTATATTATAATATAATATATATTACTTTTTTTAATTATTTAATTAAATATATTATAAATACTATTTACTTACTTATTATATTAATTATAATTCCCTTATTTATATTAATAATATATGAATAATATATTAAATTTATTTATTTAATTATATAATTTATTTCATAACTTATTTAGTCCTCCTTTTATTACTAATTATAAATATCTTTAACTTTAAGTAACTTAAACTTATATAAAAGTTAATATATTTTCCTCTAAATCTTATAATTACCTTACTTTTATCCTACATATTAAAGTATAATATCTCCCTATCTTAGTTATATTCTTAAAATCCAAGACTATAATTAGCCTAGTCTTTATAAGTCCTTAGTCTTTTTAATACCTTATTAGCCTGCTATTAGATATTATTAAGCTAATGCCTTAAAGGATTTCCTTTCTCTCTTATTAAACTATATCCGTTTATATAACTTCCCTTTTAAATTTATAAGGTTTTACCTCTTAAAATTAAAAAGGCTTTATTAATTAATACGTTTATTATATAAAAGAAACATATACATAAGAAGATCTTATAATTAAGAATTACTAGCCTAATATAGCTAGTATTATCTTTATTAAATTAGGCCTTTTTAATATCTATAGCTATTATATAAAATATATTAGCTTTATCCTTTTTATCTTATTTAAGAGCTTTTTTAATCTTAAGGATTATATTATAGCCTTTAGTCAAATAAGGCTTATTAGGCCTAAATAGTTATAAGCTTCTTAGGGTTAGCCCGATTGTTCTGCTTAACATATGTATTATAAAGAAATCTGGTTTCTACATAACTAATATTGCCTATTGTGTTAAAGGAATTGTTAATATTAATTGTTGGCTATTTGTTAGGTGCTTTGGCATCATCGCTGGCAGTGAGCCTACTACGTATCTGCCTGCAACGGCGAAAAGAACAACCGCCAATTTCAGTCAACTCATTTCACCATACACAACCCTGGTGGAGAACACGTGCCCCGTGTTATTCCAAAATTTCAAATACCAAGCGTCAGAATTCGTTGAAATATTCAATCACATGGCCAGGAACAACGCGGCAATGCCTCCGATAGCAGCCAATGCACCGACTTCCGTGTTCTTTCCGGCACCAGCGGTGACGACAGGGGGGAGGCTGGTGGTGATAGTGGCAGGAGCCGTGGGAGCCGTGGGAACCGTGGGAGCCTGTGGATGACTCGTCGATCCGCTAGGTTGTTTGGTAGCTGCCGGCGGTGCAATTGTGCTAACGGTTGCTGTAGCGCCGCATTCTTCAAGAGATTGTCCATTTTGGCAGCAAATCGCGCTGCCGGTGTTCGTGGTAGCGCAGTATTCACCCTTGGAGCAGAACTCTACAAATATCAGTTAGCTGTTTTAAAGCAAAGAATACCCACTCAGCTGCGCGGATGTACCTCCAGTGGAGCAGCAGATATCGCCTCTGCCAGGGTTGTAGCAAGTGTCCCTATGAATGCACGCGACAAATCCCGGGCCACAAGATCTTTCGCAGAGGTTTGGCCCATCGGGCACCTCTCGACAGTTAGTAGTCTGACGCTTCGTGACTCCTTCCATAATGCCCTCTAAAGCTATGAATGCCGGTGATCGAATAGCCATCCGAGGGACGGAGGCAGAGGCTATCCCAATGAAGATAAGAGTGGACAGAAGCTGCATCTTAGGAACTGAATGATGCAAACGTATAGGGGAAGTAAACGGTTTTAGAGTTAGTATCAACGTAAGAACGAATATTGTGGGACTGAATCAGACACGAATTTGAAAAGCTGGGAAAGTTCCTACGCTGGGTACTTATAATCCCTAATGTCACTATACTTTGGCCTTCTCAGAGCAATATTTGCTTATTCTGGATGGGCTATCTCTCGATTCTTTAGTTCCTAAAAACCTGCTGAGCTGCGGCACTATGAACTGGAAAGTCGATGTTGCTGGGGCATCTTACTTTGAACCCAGCATCCACAGTAAACTACGGTACTTAATACTCTCACAGGGCTTACCTTGTGGCTAGAGCAGAGGTAACCACATACCGGAGCTCTCGATCCGTAATCTACCCATCATTAGAGGTTCTTGGAACTTCCCGGTTCGTCTGGATGGTGGGCTTCGTATGCCCTCGGCCGTTTCGTATTGAAAGTTCGATTAAGCAGAAAAGTAGGGGTAGGCCAGAGCCGTAAGCCAAGGGTGGTGGAGACTGAACTCGGGATGGACATTAGACAGGCATTTGGTTTACCTCAGGATCGCTCATCACCTGAAAGAGGTTGAGGCGAAAACGAGTATGTCTAGACATGGTTACTGACCGTATGGTTATATGAAGCTCTATGGTCTTGATGAGCCCTTTTCTTATGAACGATGTGTTCTTCCCTTTCTTGTCGCAATCGCGCAGCTGGCGTATTGACCTGCCTCTTGGGTTCCTATAGATAAAAATGTCACAAATCAGGCTTGTCTGACGTCTCAGTTTTCTGTTTTGGAGGCCAAAGTCACGAGTCCATTAAAATATCATGAATCCTACCATTCTTTCGAATGTGACATTGAATGCATCCGCTTGGTTTCGGAGATTGTGAAAATGGATGGGCGTGCCACCTTGACCTTCTCTGAGTTTCACAGCACTATTCCAAATAGGCTAATACTCATCAGCAATTTCCTCAACTCACAGGAACCAACTGACAGCAGCACTCCAAACTAGAAAATCAGCCTCACCGGAAAGAATTCCTCTGACTAGGAAGCCACAGTGACGTGTTTGTGAGATATTGAGGGCTTATCTATTAAATAGAGCGGCGGTAATTACGTGGGAAGCTCTCTATCTGCATACCACCGTTGTAAAAGGTTCTCGGAACTTCCACATTATGTATGTATATTTTTCGTCCAGGAGGCCATCAGCCCCAAAAATCCCCGACTGGGGCACAGGCACAGGACATGCTGAGCTAGGGGTCTTTATAACTTCCATATTACCTCATGTAGTTTGTTTCGTGTAGGGTAGAGCTCGCCTTATTGATTTCGGTCGGCCCAGTTCGGCTTAGCTGACTCCGTGCATGTTTCACGCTAGATGGAGGTTTAGGTCCTTCGACCCAGCAGCAATTCAACGTGCCCGTATCCAGCCTCAGCTGGCATTAGTAAACTGACGTGTTCACATATCAGGAGGGGACAGCACAGCAGGATCAGCTGATGGAACTCCCCGGTAATTACCGCCGTGGACACAGCTCGGCTGCAAGAACAAAGTATGATTTGCAAAACTCTCATCGTAGGACGTTCGGTACATAGGGCTCAAGGGCTGTCCTATGCCCTTCCATGTAACCCTGAGACATTATGACATAAGTGTCGTTTCTGCCTGCAGCCACCGCCGCACATTTATCAGCGCCATCATCACTCTGCAGCTGTACTCCGAAGTGTCGCAGCCAATTCCACATTTGGTCGAGGCGGCAATAGCCATCCATAGGGAACCTTGCGACGGCACGGCCCTCCGTCCAAAATCGGGTCGGTCTTGGCCTAAACCTTAGCCTTAGCTAGATGAAAACCTCGTCTCCCTGTGGCTTTTCGGAATTTGGATCAGCCTCTCGCTCAACTGATAGAGTGCCGAGTTCCGACTGTTTGCTTGACTAGATCAATTCGCCCTTAATTCCGTCCTGAGCTCGGTCTGATTATTTGCTACTCTGCTCTCCCGTGCTCTTTGTCACATCGTATCACTAAGGCTGCTCCGACCCTCTGGCTATATTTGCCTATTGTTCTACCCGATCAAACTTGAATGAAGGAGATCGAGAGGGAAAGCACCGTCACGATTGACGAATATGACCATATCATAGGAAGCGTAAAACAGACCAGCTCCAGTCATTCATGCAGTGAGAATCAGGAGCTTCAACGCAGTCAAAATCTCCCGTTGAATGTGACACTATTTTTCTTTCTTCCTTGTATTAGGAAAGCCAGCAGGTGGAGAGAATCAATCGCTCTCTCAATCGCAGTGACTCTGCTAAAGGGTAAAGGTTCATGAGTCTAGTTTATCATTTTTCTGGTAGATGTTACGATATCGAAAGGAGTGTTTTCGCGTGGGTTGGCTAGGGCCATGAGACTATGTAAGCAGTTGTGAATTAGATAAAACGCGCTAGACTTACCTCTCCGGGAAGTATTCCCAGTTGAAAAGCAGCTTAATTTCATTTGGACACAGCAGATAGGGAGATTCTTGCATAAGGCTTTTACGGAGTAATGTGGCATGGCCTATGAAAAGTGAACATATCCGATCCGTGTAAGCACCAAGGCTGGAATTAGCGAGTCAATGGAATGTAAATTGATCTGGAGAGTGGATACGAATTTCAGCCCTCATTCTTCTTCGTTTTGGATGAATTGAACGTTGCCGCCCTCCTCACAACCTGCATCACCTCTCCCGTTGGAGACTCAGAATGCGTCCACCAATGCCAAATAATAGCTAGAAGCACGACGAAGACCGTCAATGGAATTGAGATCCACCACATCGTCCAGAACAAAGGTGTTAGAAGAATATCCCATGTCTCCCCATCACGGTGATTTGAAGAAAATAACTGCGAACCAATAACCGTAGCCACGCCCGTAGTGGGCAAGAATATCATGGTAATGGCAGCAATTACTTTCATTGAATTCGAGTCCTGAATCATTACCATCGAGTCCTGTTGCGTGACAAGGTGGAATGATAATGTAATAGCGTTTTCGATGCGCTTCTGAAGGCTACTAAGACGTAATTGACTAGACCTAAAAAGTGAACGTCGGTATTGAAGGGTTTCTAATAGTTGCTTCTGAATAGGTCCGTAGGTCGTGGTTTGTCCTCTGTGATCATGGCTGTCAACGCCGTGCGCGGTCGCTTCAATAAGCATGATGCACGATTCGATGGCCTCGACGATGTGGATGATGTGTTTGGCGCAGTTATGCATAGCGGCGAAGGGGATCTTGGTGCTCATCTTGCGGATATTCTTGGAATTGGCATACTCGAGCATTAACTATATCTATCTATTAGCCTTGACAAGCTTAGTGGATAAACATGTCACTTACGTGCTCCAGCGGTCCAAACACGATGTTCATCTTCCAGATAGTGTCATCAACCTCGAAATATAACCCTTCAAAGACTAGATCGAACAAGATGTAGGGATTAGTCGCAACATGCTGCCACGCCTTGGCAGCTACGAACTCGTTAATTCTGTGCCTTACCCTCGACGTTGCGCCGAAGCAGACTAGCGTGGTACTACCATCGGTCTCAACTCGCAGAAAGAAACCAGCGCGATGCCAGCTGTAGTCTGCCTGTGGAAGCGTAGAGATGTGATAACCCATTGTCGCAGCGCGGTTATCAATCTCAGGCGCATTGGCCCCTTCTTGCTTCACGTCGATGTTCTTACACAGAAAATGAAACCAAGAACTAGATCCATCGTGGTCTGTGCTCCGTCCAAAACTGTGACTGACAGACTGAAGGCGCTCTTTGGAAAAGTCGTCGGGGATATAAAGGATATTGAATAACTCGAGAGTTTGTGAGAGAGCGTCTCGGCGAGGAAGGTCAAGAGGCGCAAATCTTATGAATATTAGCAACCCAGTATCTCGCACCTACAGCTAGATATTCCCCTTCTTCATAGAGTCATGTTTTTACTAGTCAGAAAGCAGTCTACTGCACTTACACAATTCTCAAGCTGGCCTTCTTCTGGAGACACCGCGCGTTCGGCTCCAAGTACCAACGCCCTTCAGGAAAATCTGCAAATAGTCAGAGACTCGAATGGAAGATTTCAGTAGTCTCACTCGCCGTTAGTGATCTCCCAAATGTTGAGCATCCATTGCCCAAATGCGACCGCGATGGGTGAGTTAATCGCCTCTTGGGCGAACGCTTGGTGAGGACTCTGTCTCTGTGTCCACGACATGATACCATGAATGAAAAAAGAAAATGACTTGTGGATCTTCACATTCGTCAACTAATCGTCGCTCACGTATTTTGACGCACAGAAGATGGATTTCAGCCTCAACTGCCAGCTGTTTAGGTGTTACAGCTATTGAGTTCCGGCGCCAAGCCAGGCAGTAGCATTTACACGTTCTGGCGCACATCTAAGGCCAAATCGTTTGAACAATTTTATGTAATTTGAGACGATCTGTTGCAGATGATGGCTAATGACGCAAGCTTCTAGCTTCCGGACATATCCAGACCAGCGCCATGTCACTATCTCTCCGTACTTGAACGGAAACTCACCAGGTACTAAAAAAGATCAAACCAAACGGCCCACTGATCTTATTCCTTGCTTTCTCGCATGAAGAAAGTTGGCGATTGTCGCTCCACTTCATTCAGGCGCGTTCGGACTGCCGGTTGGTCTAGCTGGGGCCACCTTTCAGGGCTGAACTAGACTGCAAGGGATCAAGGCGAGAACAACTACCGTGATGTTACGGTGAGCCCAAGTTAAGACGACGAACTCCCAATGAGGACACACAGGCCTCATTGCTGAAGGATTGTCGCATCTCCGACAGATTTAGGGCTGGAGTCTGCCAATGGCTAACTTTGTTGAAACATTAAGCTTCCGCACAGCTTGCCGTATCTGCGACTGGGTTCCCCAGGACTAAAAGACTCTGCGGGCGCTGGTGGCTATTTTGGATGGCACGATGTGTCAGACGCATGAGTTGTCGTTGCATGCCATGGAGTAGCACAATGAAGCTGCATGGTGAGGATAGAAATAGGTTGAACAGCCAATCAATGGCCCACGAGTGACCTCAGGAGGCTCAGCTGCTTGAATGGTTTCTATCCAGCGTCAACTTCACATCATAAGCTGTTTGAAAAGGGTGTGATAACTGTCCTATCACGGAGTGTGCTATCGTGAGGTTGGGCCGAGGAGGTGCAGAACGATTATGTGCCTCCCCGGTGGTCGCCCTGCCTTTTTCCAGTTCGTGACGCCAATGATTGTAATGTCTGAGGTTAATGCAATCGTCCACCTTAAGAATGGTCTAGATTTCCGGTGGCAAGAGGAGGTCATGCTGTTCAATCCATTCGATCGAGATATGCTCCTGTATGGAAGCACCGTTCACCCGTCTGACCAGCTGCTTGAACCTCAGCTCGTTTTTGAAGCGCAAGCTCGTGTGTCCCGGCATCTTCGTTCAACTGTCAGCTTATTAGGGTGCACTCATCAGTGAGAGCGCATCTGTACTCTAACTCTAACCCATTTCCCTTCTCTCCGCTGGCGACAATTTCTATCTTTTCATATTTAACCATGGTGCGTCTCCCCTTTTGCTCTACCTGTTTAGCCCATAGGATTGTTAACTATTGTCACAGGCTCACTTACACGGAGGGAGTTACGATCCGAGCGGTGGGAGTAACGTAAGATTGGACCATTTTGATCACCCTTATGCCTTGACGCCCCTCCTAACCATCGCCAGTATCCACAGCCGCTGCCTTGTGTGTCGCACGGAGCCCATGGTGGTGGATATACTCCTGGCGCGACCACCGCTGTATGTAGCAACTCTCGTCTAGGTAACATCTACGCTTCTTACCTTGAATTCGTGTTAGTCACACCCAAGCCAAGCGTTCACGCACCATCATCTACAACCCGTATCGCCTTCTCAAAGCCCTCTCTCGGGCCAGTCAAGCGGTCTTCCGACTCCATCTGAGTCCTTCCACCGCCAACCGTCTTTCAGACAGATACAAACCCAGATCAGCACGCAGGAAAATCAGCCAACTATGGTTCGTACGACCTTGCCTTTCTCTTAAACGCACACTGACTGTGATAGGCGTATTCCGGCCATCAGCAGCAGGGTCTTGTCTATCAAGAAGGGAGTGGCCATAGACAGCGGAATGGAATAATGGTAAAGCTCTTCCACGGCTGTTTCTGTGTATAAAATCCAAATGAACATTTCTTAGCAACCCAAGATGATTAAGCCCGTATCTAATCCACCCTTATCGCCCCGGAATAGCTCAAAAACAAATGAAGTAAATGCTTCTCTAATCTTTATATCCTCAGGCATCCAGTTAACGGTTTACGATAGGAAGCTGAGAAAGAGATTCCAGTTAGCCTAAAGGGCTCGAAGCACTACTTCGAGCCTAGAACGGTTTACCAACGGTACAATCCAACGCTATACCAGAAACCTGGTTACAATTTTACCGATAGCGACACCAAGATGCGCTATCGCGACTATGCCGGCCGTATCTCGTTTAAGACTCGGTCGGATTGCTACCTTCATCACCACGATGGTTACCTTCGCAATATATGTGTTGCGGCTACCGATGATATATTCGAGGGTCCAGGAACTTCAACCTGGAAGAGGACTTATATTCGTAAGGTCGGTCCTATGAAGGTCCGCATTGCAACCTGGGTTTTTGACTTTAGTTACGACCCTGAGAGCTGGAAGGACTGGGGTATTATGGTCTTAAGAGCCCTCCCTGCTGGGATTGCCATGACCATTTGTGTAAGTTACCCTCCTGCGTAAATGCTCTTGGTGCAGGTGCTAATGGTGTGTTAGTTCCTGGGTGGGCGCAAGGTTATGCGGCGACACCTCTTTTATGCCCCAGTTCTGTACAAGTTCTACGGCGACGCCAAGGTATGGAGCAACTTACTTGAGAACCAGAAGAGCCTTTCCCTCATGGCTCAGAACAACCAAGTCTATCACATGCTGCGACCTCGATATTTGTGCTTTCTTCGTGAGCCATTCAATAATGAGAACAGAGGAATCGACGTCCATAACGTCGCCGAGTGGGAACATAACGTAGATGATCAAGATGTCAGCCTTGATTATCTATTCGTGGCTTACTCGGCTGAACACTTCAGCCATGACTCGGACCAGGATATGAATGCCCTTCACCACATTGCTGAGACAGCCTGCCGGGCTGCGAAGCTGCCCGCGTATTGGATCGCCTGCAGCTGCATGTGCGATGAGAATGAGGTAGAATCAGATGTGAGTGCTTTGTTAGGCGATCGACTGTCGCAGTGACTAAGAACAACAGGTTTATCGTATCTCTGACGTTCTCCGTGGAGCGAGAAGGATGGTGATTGCCGTTGGGCGTGGTAAGTCTGCGGTATCAGGAGGCAAGACCACTACCCAACATCTCCTTCGTGAATGGGGTGGCCGAATGTGGACATTCCCTGAGGTTCTTCTCAGCCCCGGCCGTACTATTTCGGTCTATACTCGTGGCAGCGACCTCCAGTCACCGCTGGTAGTTGCAAAAAACCAGTTCGCTGCCCAAGTATGGACATATATGGATCCAGATGTCGCGCGCCACTTGATTGACCACTACCTGGGAACTATCAGTCTGAGCCGTCTAGAGCTGGCTGTGCTGGCGTTGAAGTGTTTATATAGTCGGCTCACTACAGAATATCTTCCTGGTGATCACGCATATGCCCTTATGGGTCTTTTGAGATTGCGACCCCAGATCGACTGCACTGACACAGACTTCCAGGCCTTCTCTAGATTATCTCTAGCTAATGACTCTGACAGACTCATTGAGCGCTATATCTGCACTCTCCCCATAGATGAGAAGCAGCAATGGTTTGATATGGAGGATACTTATCAGTCGTCGCTCTGGGATATTGTGCCCTATTGCCAAGTTGCAGGCATTGCAGAAAATGACACTATCATCATTGATGGCGCTTGGGGTGTTTCGATCTCTTGGGACGCCTTCTACCCCGTCTACTGGTCTACTGGTCCTGCATTGAAGCGCTCGCTTGCCGATTATGCCGTTCAGTTGAATGGAGTGTTGCTCATTACTGCCATCAGTTTTCTCGCCGGTGGCGCAGCGTCCAAGCAAGGCGGCCTAATCGCCGTTGGTGTCATCTTCCTTCTCCTGTTCCTTTGGGTCTTGGTCATAACACCGAGCCTGGTGCGAGTTATGTATAGTGGCAAGTTTGCCGACACTCAAGCCGAGATGTTCGGCTTTGAAGGCCATCTTAACGCTTCGACTATTGAGAGAGCGATCTTTGGTGGTAACTTTGGGCGATTCTGCTGGAGCACTAACGGAAGTCCCCTGAGTCGAAGCGTCGTTAATGAGTTTGGTGAGCGTCTCGGCATCGACCCTTGCAAGGACCCTGAGGTGCGAATGAAAGTTGAGGTGGCAAAGCAAGCCCGTCCAGGACAGAAAAGAGTAAGTGCGCAAGGCGCTCACTTTTCTGTGAGTTACCAGCTAACTAACCCTAGATCTTCACCCTCGTTGACACCTACAACATGGAGTTGACGATGTTTGAGGCCGTTAGGCCACCTGTAACGCTCATGTTCTGTGCTTCAGAAAGTGGCATGCAGCGAGCTATCGGGTGCTCTTATGAATGGGAGACATCCACGATGTACCGAGAGACGGTGTTGAGAATGCCCACTACCGCTCTCAACCGCATGGGTCGAGTTCCCCGGTTTCGACTGGGTATTAAGCGACCTGTTTATCCTTCTGTTCCGCTCGATGGAGCTGTATGAGAAACCAGATTGCGTCGTTGAAATGGTGGGAGGACGCTCTGTTGCGTATAGTTGTGTATTCCCTGTATGACCCCTGCATAAATTGTAGTTAGTAGTAATTAAGTTGCGACATTTAATCGTGTGATCGGTTTACTGTGAAGAAATACCTGGTGCTTTAGAAAGATCCATGAGCTTGGGCGATGTCGGCAGCTGACTGACTAATCGCATCCTTTAGATTCTTACTTCCATTTAGGTGCTTTACTACGTAGTAAGAGATATGATAACCGAGCTGGTCAGACTAGCGAACCAGTCAAAAGTTTCAACCATTAACAGAAATACATAATAAAAATACAACAAAGTATTTAATCAATTGAAATTATTTGCTCTACTCTTTCCCAAACGTCTTAGTACCCACCAGACAGGTTCTTGTGTTAAGCCCAGTTTTTTCACACATTCCAGACCGCATTTCCTTCAGTCGCACCGTCCTTTCTTTGCCACCACCCACGTATCGATATCTGCCATTTACTAAGGACCTAGGCCCTGCTCGCCAGAGGACGACTACTATCAGCGCTGGATCTCAATATATCAAGTTCGATCCCCGGCGTGATCACCTCTGTTTGCTGTTGTTCTTACTATTCCTGCCATGGCATACCACCCTTTTCTCCCTTTTTTCCTCTCAGGTACATGTTTATGAGTGAGCCACGTCTCTTCCCGAATGGCTCGACCTCACTATTTGGAAATAAATTAAAATGTCCCGATGTAGACAATAGAATGCAAACCCTTTAATCCATTCTGAATTCCGGGTAGGTTGGCTGTAAGCTCAATTTCTTTCCAATCATTGCTCGCCACAGCAAGGCAGACAGTTGAAACTTATTTTATTCCGATTTCGGTCTGAAAACCCATAGTTTATCACAGCAATAGTCTCTAGGGTTTCTTGCTATTTTATAGTAAAATAGCCTTCATGGAATGCTTACCCGACCAGATCTGCGAAGCACCGGAGCGACTCCATCTCTCCCGCTCCAAGTGGGGCCGACTTGGCAGGCAACAACAGGCGCCAGCCTCAACACCTAGGCCGTTGGTGTGGGCCAGGCAGTCTTGACGGTTAGGCATTTGTAGGCGCAGCTTAAACAATTGCCGGTCGAGCTGGTCCAGACCTGTTCCTTCAACGTCACTCTACAGTCTAGTAAGGCCAACGGCAAGTGCAGGTGCGAGCTACACCAATAGGCTTTGCTTGAGCTCCAGGCGGTACCAACCCCAGACGTCACCGGTATCTCTTGTACGGTTCGTACACTTTTGCTGCTGGCTTAGACATCTATGTGGTACAACGGTAGGTGTTGCCTATAATGCGCTTATCTATTTAATACGATCCTGAGTCTTCATTTTTCTTCTTGTTCTACAAGCAACTCAACCTTTGATTCTTTTAGCCACCGAGTGCTCAGTGCTCTCAACCCTCTACGCAATCATCGACCGCATCCTGGGCAGCTAGTCTACCTCATGTCTGCTTCAATCTCACCCTCTCCAGCTCGGACCGGCGCTACATCTAGTCTGCCCCCGGGCTGGATAGCTCATTGGAGCCCTGACCACAACGCATGGTAAGTTAAGCAACCTCCATTAACCCACCATACCTATTGTTAACATCCATCACTAGGTACTATACATTCACCGCCACCGATACAACGCAATGGGAGTACCCAGCAGATCGAACCCAATACTCTCCAGTCCCCAACCAGCAGCGCACTAGCTGTTCTACCAGCCAACGCCCATCCAATCCAGCGGATGATACGGCAGGCTAGGAGGGAGAGCGCGGCATCGGAAAGACTGCACTTGCAATCGGTAGCGGTTACGTTCTCAGTTCTTCCTTGGGCAACAAGGACGACCATCATCACCACTCTAGTAGCCTGGGAAAGATAGCAATGGCCGGCGCGGATGCCATTAACAACAGCATTGTTAATCGTATTAGGAAAACACAGCAACCAGCGCCGCCGCCTCCGTACATTCATGTGCACTTGCCTACGGTATGTATCCCTGGAGCTCCATTACCAGGGCCTGAAGCTCCACCTTATTAAGAACAATCTTCCCCTGGAAGTCAACACTACGGGCCACCTTCCCCTGGAGCTCAACACTTCGGGCCACCTTCTCCTGGAGGACAGAACTATGGACAACATCCCCCTGGCGGTCACTTCGCAGCTAGTGACACAAGTGCAGTAGCCCCTATGGCCATAACTCCCCAACCTCTCCAGTACGGGGGAGTAAGTAGCCTACCTACCGTCGGCATAGGCGCCTTCACACCTCCCCAGCGGACCGCCGCTATATATCTATGGTGCCGCTTTTGCTGACAGGGACGTCACACAGATAGTCAGAAGTCTCGTCACCTCACAACAAACGCTGACACTTACGGGAGACACACTGGTCCAGAAACTCGGGGATCCGTGGCCTCAAGTTAGGCGGAAGATGTTTAGCGTCTTGTATTCGTACGGTGATCGAACTATGGAACTCTTGGCAGCTGTGTTAGTTATTATCCCTCGATCAAATACAAAACCATTGAGCTGACATGACATAGAACAAGTATGGCTGTTATCGAGATTAAGCATGAAGCTATATCGAAGGAGCGGATGGGATTCTGTCATGGCCCTCCATCACGGGTAATTGCATGTGTATGGGGTGTAGAGAACCCTTTGACGTAAGTAAATACCAATCCTGACAGAATGAGTAAGTTTAACAAACTTTCTAGCGTGCCGCTACTGGAGCAGCTGGAGAAACATGGCGAAATGGAGGGCTCAGACGCGACTCTCGGAGATGGAGGCTTCTGGCGCGAGCCAAAAACGCTGGTGTGCTATTATAGGACCAGGACTGTAGGTGTTGGAATCGCGTTTTGCAGACAGGGAGGAACGATTCGGTTGCCTTGGAATCCACTCGCCAAGTGGTCTTAACTTGATGGCAAGGTTGCATTATGTGTGGAAATTCTTACCAAGGTTGGATGGATAAGATTGTTACTACCCGTTGGCTCGAGCCGGGGGGGGGGGCTAACTAAGCAAGCTTAGTTGGGCACAAAACCGTGAGACACGCACAAAAGGGTGAGACAGATAGATCATACCAAATTTTGGGTGGAAAAGTTACATAATAGGGAAAATTCCCCTTAATATAGCTATTATATAAGATATAGCCTAATTAGTAATTAATATAAAGATTTTAAATATTCTATATAAAAAGGACTATTTAGAAATACTTTTTTTACGTTTATAGGATTTTTCTATAATTAAATATTTTAATTTATAATATTTTCCTTAAAAATATTAATTTTTGAATTTTAAGGACATACTAAGTATTATATTTTAAATTTAAAGCTTATATATAGCTTATAGAATTTATATATATTTTTATATAATATATTTATACCTTAAATATTTTAAATATAATTATTAAAAACTTCTAATTAATTTATTTAATAAATAAAAGCTTTTTTAAATAAATATTTTAAAATATTTAAAGTTTAATTTATTATTTTTAATTAAAATTATAATTAAAAATATAAGTAAAATTATCTTTAAGATTATTACTTAAATTTTAAATATAATTAAGTAAATAAATATAAAAAATATATTATTTAATTTATAAGATATTTCTTTAATTATTAAAGAATTATAATAAAATTACTTTTTTAATATTTAAAACTAATATTTAATAGCCTATATAAGCTAATAAAACTCTAAACTAAAATTCTAATTTTTTTATAAGCTTTATATTATATTAATATAATTTTTAAATATTTATTAGCTATTTTATTTTCTCTTTTATATTATTTTTTAAGTTTATTATCTCTAATCTTATTAGCTCCTCCTATCTCACCCTTTTATGCATGTCTCACGGTTTTATGCCTAACTAAGCAAGCTTAGTTAGCCCCCCCCCCCCCCCCGGCTCGAGCCAACGGGTAGTTACTTTAATTATATAGCTTAATATTATCTAGTTTTACTTAAATAATTACTAGGTGTTTACTTATTTAAAACTATTTTTATTATATATTAATAGCTCTTATTTAAAATATATTATATTAATAATTAAGTAATATTATACTATTAAGACATTTAGTAATAATAGCCTAATACCTCCTTATATTAAAGAGTTACTTAATATAGCTAAAATAATAATTAAACTCTCGTAAATACATAATAGTATTTATAACCTATAGGCCTATATTTATAAATAAAACATTATACTAATTAGAAATAATAGTATTTTATAAGGATAAGATATTAGAGAAGTATTAAAGCTATTTAAATTAAAACCCTTTAAAAGATAAGCTATTAATATATTCTTATTTTTAACTTATTTTTAAAGATTACTTAAATAATAATAAAATTATATAAAACTAAGAAATTATTAATATCTTTATTAATTAAAAGAACTTTAAAATTATATATAAAAATAACTTTAAAATACTTAATAAAAAATATTAAGTAGCTATTAAATATAATAGTTAAGTCTAACTATATTAAATTAAGTTATATTAGGTTTATTATTAGTAAATTATATAAGGCATAATACTAAGCATTATTAAAGTTTTATATCTCTTAATAGTAAGTTAATATATATTAGGTTTAATTAATATTAAGAAGTTTTATTAATAGCTAATAAGCTAAGTTCTATATATTATTAAATAAATATATATATATACTAGATAGCTTATAGTATATTATTCCTAGCTTATAGTAAGTTATAAGTTAATATTATAAGTTAAGTTATAAGGCTTATAGATTATTTTTAAGGAGAAGTATAAGTTTCTATATAATTAATAGAATTAAATTAAGGGTAGTATATAAGGTAAATGCTATTATTATTAAGTTATAATTTTAAAACTATACTACTTAAGTAAACTAACTTATATATAACGTATACGATAAGCGAGCGAGACAGACAAGCAAGCGAGACACCCTACTTTTCACCTTAAAGGCAGATTTTTAAATAATTCTTAAAGTTTCAAATTAAACTTAAAATAGCTAAGATCCTAACAACATATATATAAGTCCTAAAATAAGCTATATAAAATTTCTTAGATTTTAAAAAAAATCCTATATAGCTATAAACTTTAAAATATATTTACACTGTAATTTACACTGTATTTTAAGGTTTTCTATATAAAATAAAATAATTAAAAGTCTTTAAAAAATACTTTATTATATAATAAGCTATACTATTATAAGAAATAATTTTCTTAGATTTTTAGCTATTTTATTTAAGTATTAAGAAGCTATAGGGTAAGCTACTTTTTGCTGTACAGTATACTGTCTCGCTCGCTTGTCTGTCTCGCTCGCTTATCGTATACGTTAGCTTATTTTATTATATTCTAATAATTTATTTTTAAAACTTAATAAAATATTAAAGCCCATATAAAAATCTACTATAAAAGATTAAAAAAAGAAATTAAAGATAAATTATATAAAGCAAATAAACCTAATAGTATTATAAAATATAATAATATAGTAATTAAAATTAATAAATAATAGTATAAATATAAAATAAAAAGGTTTATTAAAATAAGAAAAAGAAAAGGAAATAACTTTAATATATATTACCTTAACTAGTAATATACTAATAAATATAACAACTTTTAAACTAAGGATAATAATAAGGTAATTAGTTAAGTAATACGTTATATAAAATATAATTTAAACTAATAGTATTAAGAGGTATATAATTAGGATATAAAGACTTCAGAAAACTATAAGATATATCTAAATATAAGTATTATAATTGTAACTAGTTTAGATATATAATATCCGCTCTTGCGAGGGATAAAGACATAGGAAGGGTCAGGCAGCAAGAGCACGATTAACCTGATGCTTATATCGGCCGAGCTGGCAGAAGAGGCGGTCTATTGCAGTATCTATCTGACCGAGCATAGATCAGACTACAGAGCAATCCGAACCAAGTTTGACCTCACGACCTCTGAGAGACCGGTAGTGCCTAGGCTGTTGTTCAAGGACGCGCCGTGAAATGCAATTAGGGACAGAGTAGGCGAGAAGCTTACGGCGCTTCTGTAAGATAGCAACGTTTAGACATAAACAAACAGGCTGATTGGGGTGGTTTCCGATACGGTTGACCAACTAGTCCTGCGGGTAAAGCCATTACCTTATGCCAAGAGATGGTAGATGACAGACCTCACCAACCTCCGCAGAATATATATATTCTGGCGCAACCTAGCAAGAGGTCGGCGCCGAGCTGGTCAGCGAATCGATACTTTAGAAGCTCGAGCTAAGGAAGCAGCCAAAGGATATCACGATTCTATCAAGAAGCAGAAGAAAGAGCACTAGGACGACTTTCTTGCCAACGGGACCAACATCTGGCAAGCAGCCAAATACTACAAGCCTGGAGACGAGACGAGTGGTGATAATGTACCTCCTCTGACGAGAGCAGACGGGACGACGACGCAGGATAAAGTTGAGCAGGCGGAAGAACTACTCACTGCACTCTTTCCACAGCTCCCAGCAGGTATAGAAGATGAAGGAGTGGGCGGCTACTCCAAGCAGGTCGATCCAGGCTTGCCTGGCAAGCAAACACAAACGTTATATCATGGACTCAACAGACGTGAAGCCGACGTGCTGTCGCAGCTTCGAACGGGAATGGCGAGGATCAACAGTTATCTGAGCAAGATAAGGGTCGCAGAGTCGGATGTGTGCGAGTGCGGATGTGCGCCAGAGACGATGGAGCATTTACTCTTCTGGTGTGCGAGATTGGAGACGGAGCGTCAAGTGATGCGACAGGTCGGGCAAGACAAAATGGGACGCCTTTCCTTCTTTCTAGGTGGCAAAGCAGCGTCAGATGGACCAAAGTGGGCACCTAACCTAGAGGCGGTGCGAGCGGCAGTCAGATTTGCGATAGCGACAGGAAGACTGAATCGAGAAACAAACTGAGAGGGGAAGAAGAGAAAACACTCAAATAACGCAACAGCCATCCATCGCACGGATGGACAACCGAGATCAAATGGGCGCTTAACTTCCAATCTAAAGGAGCGACAAAAGTCGGTCTCTTATATTAATTTTCAGTCTGCCGATCGCCAAGGCAGCAGGATGCTGCCTGCAATTTAGAGTTCATTGCAACCGTGAAGTCAGTCACGATAGTCGTGATCCTAACCCTTGACATTACCAACAATCCTGCCAAATGTCCCACTGCTTAAATGATAAATCACGCAAACATGCTTAACTTAGCTCCAAGACAGGGCGAATAATCACAATAAGATAACGCAAGATTTTCCTGCGGCACAATTCGCAGCGAGGATATTAATAAACGTTGGTGCCTTGGCAGAGTCTGGCTCGAGGATAATCTGGGTATTTTCGGATGGAGAAGAAAAGTTCAGGAGCTGAACGATAATCCTGGTCTGCCAAATCAGCCTCGGCTCCTTCGCCTGCCTCGCAGGGCGCGGAAGCCGAGACTAGAAACGGAAGGTGCCGAAACTTCTTTTGTGCACAAGCCATAGCAGCCACAAATGTCTGTGCCGCCCAGGGTCTAGAATCTGTTTGGAACAAGTTCACCCGTCTTACTCGTTAGCTTGTCCATTGAAGCACACGACATTTCGTTTGACTCAACACAGCCCTACAAATTACAATCCTGCCAACACAATCCTCCAGACGTCATGGTCTGTTTCGAAGCCCTTTTCCAGAAAGACATGCATTGGTTATGCACCCTTATTGCTGCAACCTTCCTGAGGCTACCTGTTGGTGAAACGACTTCATTACATAAAAGAAATGTAAAAGTATTGAAGGATTCACGTCGAGATCAGCCTAACTAACCGGATGTCGGCAAAATAATTACCTTTTCTTTCTTATTGTCTTGAGAAGTTAATATGGTGTGATATCTAATGTACTTGAAAAAAGGGGCATACAGAGTACGTACATACAAACTCAATCTCTGTGAATTGTCATGCCAAACACGGCAGCAAGTTGCCGTTTGGTAAGGCCTCCCCTTTCATGTCAGGGGAAGC